GGGAGTATATTTTGTACAATCTTTGTATTGGAGGGCACCATTCACCTGTGTGTCTTTTGTACAATCTTTGTATTGAAAGGCACCATTCACCTGTGTGTCTTTTGTACAATCTTTGTATTGAAAGGCACCATTCACCTGTGTGTCTTTTGTACAATCTTTGTATTGGAAATGCCATTCGCTTGTATCTATTTTGTACAAATTTTGTATTGTAAGGTGCTATTCACATGCATGTCTAAAATTAGAAAGGGGAGATAAACAAACGAATAGAATAACACCATACAGCCACAATGCAGAAAGTAAGCATGATAATTTGACAATACAGTTTCGCCGATAATACTGTTTTATAATCGTTTATTTGTGAGGTGCAATGGGAATCCTGTCTTGAATGAAGCTGATGTTAACAATATTCTGAAAATAGTAATGCTGACCCTGACCTTGACCCTACAATCCTGAAACTCGAACTTGTCCAAGATAGTTTGATATTTTATAAATGAGTGAAGTTTGATGAGAATCTCTCAAGGAATGAGGCGACTAGAGCACTGACAAACTTTCATTGACGCAGGGACGTTCGAATGTCGAGAACTTAACTAACTTCTAGGACTCGTCGTCCTTTTAGGACTCGTCAGTGATGCTACATCATACAGCTGCTTCGTTCGGCTAGGACTCGTCTGTGATGCTACATCATACAGCTGTTTCGTTCGGCTAGGACTCGTCAGTGATGCTGCATCATACAGCTGTTTCGTCCTTCTAGGACTCGTCAGTGATGCTATATCATACAGCTGTTTCGTCCCTCTTGGACTCGTCAGTGATGCTACATCATACAGCTGTTTCGTCCTTCTAGGACTCGTCAGTGATGCTATATCATACAGCTGCCTCGTCATTCTGAGACTCGTCAGTGATGCTATATCATACAACTGTTTCGTCCTTCTAGGACTCGGCAGTGATGCTACATCATACAGCTGTTTCGTCCTTATAAGACTCGTCAGTGATGCTACAACATACAGCTATTTCGTCCTTCTATGACTCGTCATTGATGCTATATCATACAGCTGTTTCGTCTTTATAGGACTCGTCAATGATGCTACATCAAACAGCTGTTTCGTCCTTCTAGGACTCGTCAGTGATGCTACATCATACAGCTGTTTCGTTCGGCTAGGACTCGTCTGTGATGCTACATCATACAGCTGTTTCGTCCTCTTAAGACTCGTCAGTGATGCTACATCATACAGCTGTTTCGTCCTATAGGACGCGTCAGTGATGCAACATCATACAGCTGTTTCGTCATTCTAAGACTTGTAAGTGATACTACATATCAGAGAAGTTTCGTCCTCGTAAGACTTGTAAGTGATGCTATATCACACAGCTGTTTCGTCCTCGTAAGACTCGTCAGTGATGATATATCATACAGCTGTTTCGTCCTCGTAAGACTCGTCAGTGTTGATATATCATACAGCTGTTTCGTCTTTATAGGACTCGTCAGTGATGCCACATCATACAGCTGTTTCGTCCTCCTAAGACAAATCAGTGATGCTAAGGAATACTATAATAGCACTACAACTGGTACTTACATGGAAGCAATAGAAACGACAGGAAATGGCTGATTGACAATCCTGAATTCATCCTCGGTGAACGTTTCAAACACGAACACAAAAGTCGACTACTTCCTCGTCATCATAACGTGGTTCTTTGTAGATTAGCTGCGTATTTCTCGCGAGACCTCTGCTTACTAAAATACAGGTGTGTTATACCCTCGATAACTATTTCTAATTAACGAGGTGACTGAACTGCACTTAGGAATCGATGTTGAAATGCTTTATTTCAGTCTTCACTAATAATTCATACCGTTTGACGTAAGCATTGCTAACAGCGGACTAACCAGATTGGAGAGTAGAGACCCCTAACTCGAATTGTTTAAAACCCTAGGAGACCTAACGCTTTTTGTGGTAAGACAGTGTCAGAATATATCTGATTGATTCCATGGTTTATAATTACACTGAACATTGAAAACAGAATAATTACCATATGTGCAAAATGAAGAGGCCCAATAGGCATGTATCGCTCACATGATATTGAATGTTTTACTCGATAAAATCCAGATTAAATGTCATTCGGAAACTACTGGACATCAATCCACATAATATATAGTTATACAAAACCACCAATACCATTTTTTAGTACAAATCGTGCAAGTCTTTTGTTTGGTTAAAGTTATTTTAACTGTAATCACAAATTTGACCCCGTGTGACCTTGAATATGTGAAAATTAAGCAGTACTGACGACAGAAGTCACAACACATAGCTAACTTGGACCTTCAGACTTTACACATGAAGAACACGACTTTTTGAATTGAATTTGAAATGTTGTGATTTAGTTTTTTCCGTATACAATGTATCACATTTTTAAACTTTGTGTCTTTTTCCTATATGTAATAGTTTTTGTTTAACTTTTTTGTAACCCATGGTAGTATTTAGGATCAAACATCTAATACCCACGTCTAAACGGGTGCAATTATATTAAATAGAATCTTAAAAGTTTTTTTTTCCTTTTGATGTGAGATTTTATAAAACGAATCTTAGATTTTTTTTATTTTTGTGAGCCTTGGAGAACGAAAAATAAAACTTGTAGACAAGTTTGATAAAAGAGAGATAAGATGCTTCTTGTCACGTGACTCAGATAAGTAACATTTTGGCAGGTTTAAAGTCAAAACGTCGAGGAAAAAATCAAACGAGGCAGTAATTTTTGCAACTTCAATTCATGACGTTAAGTCGTTGTCTGTTCTTAATGTATTACGTCAGAATCAATTACTGACTGGCACAGCCAATGAAAAACGTCCATTGATATATTACACCATCGTATACAAAACTTATTTGATGGGCGAATTGACTGAATATATAAAAGGATTATGTGGCAAAAGCCTAAATGTTCGGAACAATTAGTGGTATGGATTCAAATTTATACTCTGGTGTATTTTAGCGAAATTTAAATACATAGATTCTGTAAATGTGTTAAGCGTTAGTCGCACGTTTCTAATTAAGAAGTGTGTGTATTTTACTGCCTATCAATAAAATATATGTTGTTCACAAATATGTTCAGGTGCCGACAGGAAGCTCCGAAGTCTTTGCTTTTAACCAAGCAAATTTATTCAATCGATTGATTTAGAAGGAAAATATCCAAGCGTGAAATGGTACTTAGAACAAAGAGGCAAACAGGGTCTTAATGATTACCAGAGATCTATACGTGAAACTACGTAGGAACTTTACTACTAAAAGGTTCATAGTACGTGTAACAGAAATGTTAAAGATTCAAACTTTGAGTTTGAATTATTTATCTACAGAAATTAAAAATTAAACTCAAAAACAACAATATTTTAACAAACTTTCCATCCCCCACCCTGGGAGAAACAATGCACTCTTTGGTAAAACACTTTCTATCACACACTTTGGTAAATCACCTTCCATCACACACTTCGGTATATCACCTTCCATCACACACTTTGGTAAAACACCTATCATCAACTATTTGATTCTCTTATATTCAGTCAAGTTGATGTAGTTTGGCAACACTCGTCAGGTCCCTGGGATCAACCAGGGCCAATGTATGCACATCATCTGAATTCTATCCTTTTACATCCTTTCGCCTAATTTAAAGTATTGGTTTCCAGCCTATCTGGGTCTTGAGAAGAAGATGATTAAAAATCAAACCATTTTACCCCATTTGTCTCGCTTCTCATAGCGATTGACCTCTTTTGTTCTCTTCCTCAGAGTCCCTTGCAGCGAAGATTATTTAATCAACAATTGTGGTACATTTTTGACCAATAAAAGATCCTGTGAAATTCCATTAAAATAGGTTCGGTCGTTTTTCATGATAATTCGAAAACATGAATTTTTGACGGGCAAACAACAAACGGTACATGACATGGACAAATGTGATTAGAATAGGTTACTTGGGACTTTGTCTCGGGCGATCTAGTCCTGTACAATTCATCAAAGCCAAATACTCTATACAGGACATGGATCTTGTTCTATCGGAAAAGTTCAAAGAAAAGACTAATGAATTTAGATGGTCAGACTCATATACAAGTAGCTTCATCATACATACCAGTTCTATTAATAGAATAAACAAACGTGGATATTACAAGGTATCAGTAGGAAATTTATTTCTTTATTTCTTATATGTGTACTACGCATGATAGTCTTGTACGTGTACTAGGCATGATAGTCTTGTACGTGTACTACGCATGATAGTCTTGTACGTGTACTACGCATGATAGTCTTGTATGTGTACTACGTAATCTTGTATGTCATAGATGGAAGCATCTCGAGGCATTTTGCCAAAATTGTGAATTGCATGGCCCCGGGTCTCACATTCCCCCGTGGGAAGGAGGTAAAGTTTATTATAATTTATATAGGGAAACTAGATGTTTTGAGCATAATTTGTTTAATTTCCATTGATAACATTCAAACTTGCTTAGCATTATGAGTGAAGGATGACAGCTTGATGGTATGCCTATATTGATCCTGACTGACCCCCAGGAATGATGGGTGGAGCCAAAAGAGGTCAAATTGACTTAAATTTTAAAAATCTTCTTCTCAATGCCCAAGTATGGTAGCATCAAATTCATGGAGAGAAGCGTCTTAAGGTGTTTTAATTACCTAAATGGGTCTCACATTTTCTCCTGTAGGAGGTTAACTTCACTGTATTTTTATAGAAAAAATACATTTTTGTGCCAAATGTTATTTCCCACTTGAAATAAACTTGTCGATATCATTAGTTTTGGATGACAGATTTGATGGTATGCAGGTATTGACACAGGCTTACTATCATCAACATCACATTTTCTGTTTTATGGCTACTTATCCTTTAACCTTTATAATCAATAATTTTTATGGCTGGTGACCGTCATGGCCTGTACTTTTTTATTCTTTGTTCTTTTTTCGTTTTTGTTCAACGAATGGTTCTGCACACTACTCAGTATAATTCAATAACAACAAAACTCTTGATTATTTGTACACAATATCTTTACTGAAATGTACAAAAGATCAGTAACTGCACATTTTTTTCAGATAATTTCCCTAATTGATTACCGTTATCATTTAAATTTCCTGATACCTTACAAGGATTAATGGTAGGGAAATTGTGACATAGCTGTACACAGGAAAAATATTGCCGCCAGTTTTAATTGGAAAATGTGCATCTGTTCACAGCCATGTAATAAATACAAAGAAAAAATTTCCTCTAGCCACTTAGAGTTAATTAAGCTTTATCCCTTATCTGCCATAAAGATTTTGCCCCAGTCATCTGTCTCTACTTTGAAGCAATCAATGAGAAAAAACCTCTCTCACTACCAAAGCACTCATACAAACTCCTCCCATTCACTCTAACATATCTCCAATTCACTTTAACACACAAACCCCTCCCATGCACCATAACCCACCCTGCTCTAGATCAGTCAATGTAACCATAATAAATGTATCAACCATGTATCAACCAAAATATCTGACATGTGATGTTTTAAACAGGGTACCTAGAACCTAGTCTGAGTTTCCTCTGGCCCCACTACTGGACTTTTGACATTTCAATTGATAGAAAATAGACATTGTATCTATTCCTTTAAAGGTCAATAAGAGGTTATCAGCCAAACCCTAAATAGTTGTTAAGTAAAATGCCTTTGTTGACCCCTAATAAATGCTGTACCTCTTGTGGAGTTTGTAAAAAATCGCTGTTACTAATATCGGTGAATGATAGAATCTGTTACATGTACGAGTTTGAGATCAAAGCCAAGACTGAGATGTTATAGAAAGTTAGTCTCAGGCTGAGGAAAATTCCTGAGCATATACAGAACATATATTCTATTTCTCAAACAATCATTATTTTGTCAGAATTTGAACCAAACATTATTTTTGTTATGACAATTGTTGGTGCTAAATATTGCATAAAGGTACAGACAGATCGGCCATGACAGAATAATCAAGGACTGGGTTGTGGCTGAGGTTACCTTGTGTACGAGAAAAAGTAGACATGTTTTATAATTTAACATTATCAGTAACTTACATACAACCCAAAGTTCACTTATTGGAAAATTCTTTGATATTCAGAAAAAAAATTAAAAATTAAAAAATCAATAGTTTAAAATTGCAATCACAGATTGCAAAAAATTTCAATGGCATTTTACAAAACATCCTCTACCTGGTAGAGAAATGATTGGTTTGGAGCAGCGAGTAACTTTAACTTCCAAGCATTTAGATAGATGATGCCCTAGAACCTTTCAGTCTGATCCCAACGATGGTGTAATTTATAATCCTAGTGAAATTAGGGTATGTTCTCAACTCCTTCACCAGAATAATTTATAATCTTAGTGAAATCAGGGTCTGTTCTCAGCTCCTTCATCAGTGTAATTTCTAATCCTAGAGAAGTCAGGGTCAGTTCTCAGCTCCTTCCCCTTGTTTTTCTTTATGGGTTACAACACCTTTACTGATAAGATCTGGGATTTCTACTGCTAACCACGGTCCAAGCTGCAAATTTAAAATTTCAGTAACTAAATACAATTCAATAATTAATGTTATGCTTGTATTTCATCATTATTACTTATTTTTTGACAGCAGAACCAAATTTTTACTTTACTTTTCTCAACAATTATTTTTCTTTCACCTTGTAATACAAACCATCTACTTACATTGCTTTACTTAATCAAATGTATTCCTGTTTGTTTCAGTCATTTGTTGGAGAAACATGTAATGAACAGGTGAGTAACAGAAACACTTACCCCTAAAGCCATAGCATGGGCAATTCCAAATCTCGATACATTTCTGGCCCACAGAGGTTTGAAGTGATCAGTCAGGCAAATTTTTCCTCCTCTGAAAAAAATGAAGTACCTGTAGTTTAATGGCAATTTTTTTTAAAATCCTGTTTATTCTAGATGTATAATCTAAAAATCACTTGAGTGGTTTATGTTACATTCTAGTGAGATGAAATTTATTTTTGTCTTAGTTGTGACCAAGTCAGAACCCTTTATAAAACTTTACCAAAAATAATAACTAAAACAAAAGGATCGGTTATAATTTTACTTGGAATTCTATTTATTTACAAGAAGAATAATTCTTGTCACAATCAGGTAGACTAAATCTCAATAACTTCAGATTCTTGATTAATTAGCAAAAACCTGAACTTATACTGATGTTGTGTGTTCAATTTGTTTTGGCGATTCATCTCCAAATGTATAGGTATTTATTATTTTCATGTTGGTATTCTTTAAATTGCCAATGGGATCTTACGCTGCAATATCTAGAGAAAAATTGCCTCATTGCTCAGGCAACCTTATGTCCAATTTTCATGTAAAATCAGGTTATTTTGGTTCCATAGTGAAATCAAACTAAAAGTTTATATTATGAGATGTATGTGTACCATACTTTACCTGTACATCTTGGCAGTTTTACCGTCCAGTTCAGGTAATGCTATTTCTGGGGCTGTTGTTGGGTAAGTCACAGGTATCTAAATTAAATGAAGATATATATTGTACAACACATGTAATATCTGACATATAAAGCTAGTATTTCACCAATGTTTTTTTGTTAGAGACCTCAAGGTCTTTTCAATGTCTCCGTTGGGGATCTAATCAAGGAGCTGTACCTCTAGTTAACTAGTCAACAACTAGGCTGAAGGATGAAGGGAGGTTCTTTCTAGCAATTGAAGCAATATATTGCAGATACATTTGTCATTTGTAATGCTTATTTCTTTACCAGAGACATGATGAATAGTAAGGAAAAGACAGTCGGAATTAAACCTCTTACTCCACTTGACTGTGATTTTGCAAGGGTTACGCTCACCAGTGCTCTATGCACCCCTTAAACCATCTTCTATATATACTCCAGGGGTTACACACCCTTTGAACATTTCCAAGCAAATGTGTAATAATTTAATAGATCTAAAGCAAGTTTCAGGAGAAAAAAATTACCAATCACACAAACTGATCATTTCTTTTAAAATTAGTATACAAAGGAGCAACGCCCAACTTCAAAGGCAGTACACCAAACCATTATGTAACTTCCAGATTCATTTAATGTACATCAAAGGATCAAACTAGTCTTCTTGTCTTAGCCCCAAAGTCTAAAGGAACCTTCAATTTTGCCATGAAATGTTCCTGGGATGCAAAGAGCAATAATGAGTGTAACCCCTTGAGTATCGAGGACGCCCTTGTTTGTCAAAACACATAACACTTTACTTTCAATCAAAACCTTGGATATCTTTAGGACTACGAACTTACATCAAATTCAACATCAAATTCATATTTGAGAAGTTCATGGATGTACCAGCAGCGCCCAAACCACCGAGTGCCCTCTTTGTTGGATTCTAGACGAAACCAGTCGTTGTCAGACTCCTTGTTGTTCTGAACATACTGAAATCATAAACCGAAAATATTTTCTAGATCTTAATTGATCAGTCAAAATCGGCTTTTCAATGTAAATGTTTACATAATCAATTGACTTCATGTTCCATATCCATAGAAAGTGAATACTTTGTCTGCTGCCGTAATATTCTTCCTTTTTGTAACTTTACAAGGTAATCTTAAATGGAATATTATTGGCAATAAGCATTTTTTAACATAATATGAATTTAATTTTTTGGTAAAATGCAAGAAATTATTAAGGTACTGATGACTGGTTATGAAAAATAATAATAAATTGTCGCATCCGTTTACAGTTAGATTATCTATTATATCTCATCATTGTCCCAACAATACACATCACATTGGGGAAACATATGGTATGTTGACACACTTCTTCATCCAGTTTCTTCATATGACAATTGAAATGGTTCTGTATGTCCCATACCTGCAGCCTATTAATGTCCACTGCTGTCAGTTTAGAAATAATTTTATCAGAAGGGCTAGCAACAAATATTGCCGAAACTCTCTGGAGTTCTTTAAGTACATTTGATAAGAAAACACATGTACATTTTCTGAAAATTGTATAATACAATCAGTAGGAAAATTTCATGATTAATTGTCTTCTTTCATATGATGTCCAAATACACCTGTCACTGTTAACAGCCACTCATGGCATTATAAAATTCAGGATTTACCCCTTTTTTAGATTTTGTGACATGAAATGTTAAACAGGCGTCCGACTTTCTGATTCTGTCCATAAGAATATACATTATTTGCTATCAAAATAGCCTGACTACTATTATTAAAAATAATACTAAAACAAATACTTATGCCCACTTAAGATACAGAAATTTTCGGTCTAATTTTTGTTGGCTATGCTCACAGAAATTTTCGGTCTATAGTGTTTCTTCTTTAAAAAAAACTATTCTTTGTAATATAACACAAATGTATATACACTTACCACAAGCACAAGCTGAAAGGCGATATAATCTAACATATGTCCTGATGTAGTCTCCATAAAGCGTCCATATGGCTAATACTGTCTAACTTTCAATGTGTAATGTCAAATGACTGTCAGCTGAATGCCATATTGGTAGATAGAACTAAGATTTTGCCATATATATTAAAGTCCGATTCATTCAAAATTACCTTAATCAATGACATGTATTCCTCTTTCAGTCGCACGACCCATTGTTCGCCATCCCGAGGTCCTGCCTTCGTTTTAAGCAAAGGAATCTTTGCTAGAGTACGTTTCGTGGCTTCGTCCACCATATTTTCCGTTTAGTTCTCTCACTTACACGCTTGGTGTCAGTCGGATCTCTGTGAAGCATTTTGAAGATTTAGATTATGTCAATAACAAACGACACGAGCTACACTAAATTTCCGGCTAACAGCACAGGATCGACGCTCATCAGGAACACATATTTTTTTTAACATTTCTTAAATGTAATAACTCCGTGTACACACTACCTATCCTTTTCACTTATTGCTAATATGCAATAGACATTGCCTAAATGAAACTGATATAAGATAAATTACTATTAATTACAAAGTAAATAGAAATCTTGTCAACACCAATAATATCATTAGAGGTTTCAAATTCATCCACGGATTCCAACTCTTAACACACAATATCATAACAAACTCATGAGTTTGCTTTAAAAACTTTTTCCTCTTACTTAATTTAATTGAATGGCATGATTTACATGGCAGCTTTCCTCAATGAGGCAGAAGATGCCTACTTTTGTGGAACACCTGGTCTTATTCTCCTTGTTCTTTATACTTCATATGTCTCCATGTGATTTTTTGTTTGTTTTGTTCATGTTTTGCTCCAGTTTTACTGAACTTGGGTTTGCATGATTATTTCGCATTTTAGAACTTCCTTTGTTGTTTTAGTGCATAATTATACTAGTATCATTGTGTTTTGATAATAATGTAGACTTTCAACTGTGTAATTCTTTCCTCACTTGTCTGAAGAGAGGGCAGGTAGGCTTGTGCCAATGATCCACTAGGTCTGTCCATTCAAGCAGTGTCAACTTCTTCCATTCACAACTTCTACCTACATGTGATAACCACAAGGTATGGGTCATGATTGGGCATGGAGCATGTGGGATGAAGGGCTACAAAGTTTGTTCAAATGACAAGAAACAATTATTCATGCCCTATGGGAGTGTGAAAAAGTACAAAGATTTTTACAGAATTTTGAATATCTTGTGGACAGTCTTTCAATACCTTTTGCATATAATAAAGAATCCTTTTTATTTGGAATATTGAATAGGAACAATATCAATTTTGTAGTGGACAACACAATAATATTGATAATGAAACAGTACATCTATAGCTCTAGATGTTTAAAAACGGAATTATCTATTCATGGTCTCAAGAATCAAATTAAGGAAACATATTGTGTCCAGAAATTCATAGCTACTGGAAAAGGGAATCTGGTACTGGATGAGTTTAAAAAAGTATGAAGGAAATGGGAAAAGTTAATTGAGATAACTTAGCATCATAAATTTGTGTTTCTAGTATGTGGTTCTACATTCCCAGGCAGCTCCCTCTTAATTTCTCTGTCTCTCTCTTTCTCTCTCTCTCTCCCTCTCTTTCTCCTTCTGAGATGTATTCCTTTTATGTAGTTATGTGTATTTGTTCTGTGTTTTTTGAGTGGGTGAAGTATGAGGGATAATAACATGTAAGAATGTTTGTATAGGTGTAGTATAGGTAAAGAATGGGTGAATATGTATACATAGTGGAAAAATGAGTGAACACATCCTTCAGGGGAGTTTGTACAGGTGTATGTTATATATATGAAGAATTAGTGAAAATGTAGTGTATGAAATATAAGTGAATCAATCTTTTATGAGTGTTTTTGTTATATAAATGAGGTGCAGGTGAAATATGAGTGAATGTAGTATAGGTGAAGGATGAATGAATATATCCTATATAATTAATATACCAGTTGGGAGTGTTGTATAGATGAAGTGAAGGTGATGTATGAATGTAGGTGTATGATGAGTGACTGAAAGAAGAAAAGCTGAATGGGATATAAAATATAAATGAGAAAGTGTGGTATGTTTATTGTCTTGCAATGTATCCTGTTTGAAGAAAAAAATAAAAAGTTACAAAAAAACGTTTGTTCAAATGGATGACCTTAACCCACATTTATCAATGCGTTGAACATTTTTAACTTCTTCTCAATTGCAAAAAAGGAGGCCTATGATGCTAACATTTGGTTATTAGTGTGCCAGGATGAAGGCCTACAAACTCCATTCAAATAAATGAGTTTGGCTTACTTTCAATGTCACTGGGGTCAAATGTCGTAAAATCATTACTGGACTTCTGTAAAATAACAAAAATGACTAGAATATCAACATTTGCCCAGCAGCTTACTTGGAAAAAGTTTGATCAAATGAATGACCTTGACCCACTTCCAAGGTCATAAAGGTCAAATGTGTTGTAACCTTAATGTCTTCTCATGACTAAGATGCCCTATGTAATGGTATAAAGCCAGTAGCATGCTTGTATGAAGGGCATGTCATTTTAAATATTTTTTTCAATTACTTGACTGTAGCTGTGACTTTCATCGGTTGATTTGAACAGCCTTGATATGTCTGTACAGTAAACAAGAAAATTTCTGCCAATTAAAACCAACAAAAGAATATATATCAGTTTTGTTTCCTTTATTGCTCCTTCAGTCAATATTAATCACATTACTTGTTACACCCTTACAAATTTTCATACACAGGTATAGCTCAACAATATAATGTACTCAGTAGACTCAAGATTCAGCACTTATTTCAAAGGTGAATTTACATATATAAATATCTAAATAGTTAAACTAAACAACTCATAGAATGATGATATCATGAAATATGTGAAAATTAGATCGAAACTGAAACAAATATACACTGCTGCACTACATCTGTATCTAATGTGTTACACAACAGCTGTTTATGTGTTTGCTAAAAAAAAGATACAAAAAGTCTGTTTTTTGTGCTGCCTGTAATCAAGCATATGTTGTAATCATTGAATGAATACATTCAAAGCCAAGTCACGCTGAAATACCAGCTATGTCCCTGTAGAATAATTCTTAAATACCAGGATTAAGTGATTCCAATATCTGTATTTACAGCTTAATATATGTTACCATGACAACTGTATTAAGCAGTGTAGTAATTAATCAGAAATCAATGTTTATAGTGTAGAAAACACAAGCATGCCTACAATTCACATAATGAAGTGCTTTATATCATATATTACATATACTGAAGAAACATGCTGTTTAACACAATACTACAGAATTTAAAACAAAGTTATAAAATCCTACCAGTCTATTCATTATCATGGTTTCTTTTTCGTTGTTTTGACCGCAACATTTTGCAAGATATGAATTTTCTTTTAAAAGGTTTATCGAGTGAATTTTGCTAAATTGACCTCATCTGAAATTTAACTCACAGAAGATATAAAAAAAATTAAAACTGTTCATACAGTTAATATATGACTCATACATCAAAAAATAAAGCTGGAATCAGCTGGTAATTTATCCGACAGAAAATCAGCAATATTGACAGATGAAAATTTGACTGTCATTTGAGGTGTAAATTAACAAAATAGAGGTAAACAGAAACCCTCTACCTTACTTGACTTTTCCATGTAGGTCTGGAATCAGTGAAAAAAGATGAAAGAATGTCAGAACAATTCCGATTAACAAGCATATAACATTTATCAACAAACACATGATTATTTTCATTCTGTATCAGTGAAATCTACTCTGAAAATTATAATTCTAGAAAAAAGACACTCCTTACAAAACCCAATCTGATAGTCTCTCACTGGACTTTGCAGTATCATAATGTTTGAGGGTAAAATTATTTTGAAGTTTTGTCCGATGCTGAATTTTTCTCTGAAGCTTCATTAGGAGTATTGCTTTCTTCTGTTATGTAATGACTAGGATTTCTATCCATACATTCCTTCACTTTGATAAAAGTGTCATTACAAGCATCAACTTTTTCTTCGTTGTCCATGTTGTCATGGATACACTGAAAGAAGTTCCGCATCTCTACACCACATCGGCTAGCCACCATACTTCCCCGACAGGCACATTCCCAATTCAAACTTCCATCATCATTACGAAAGCCTGAAAACAAACAAGAAAACAAATTTCAGTTAAGTCTAAATTTGGTCAACATGTCTGGAAAAGTAGATTTTACAAATTTATTCCAATATTTAAATCAAATCCCTGCAACCTTTGCTAAAGATTCCTGCATCCCATACAAGAAAAAATATATCTACATCCGTTTGATTTTCACTCACTAGTTGCATTCCAATTTCATTTCTGGAAATGTTCAGTTGCATATATCCAGTATCACCAAATTTATCTGATATAATCATGTCAACCTGTCCTTGTCAAATTGTGGAAAATGTTAGTATCACCCAATTTTTTTTTTGATTTTGCAGAATTTAAAAAAATTCAAAATCAATTTTCAGGTCTAATTTGACACATAACATGGAACATATAAATATATACAAATGTGATAACTATACAATACAAACATAACATAGATTATTATATAAATAAATACGAATGTGATAACTATACAATACAAACATAACATAGATTATTATATAAATATATACAAATGTGATAACTATACAATACAAACATAACATAGAACATTATATAAATAAATACGAATGTGATAGTTATGTAATAGAATTGAGTATGGGTTCTTTTTCTTTATGGCTCTTTAAAATACCCTGTCACCCTAGATTTTGAAGGGATATGAACAGATAATAGATGACATGATGGTGGTTACACTAAAATAAATCTTTAGGGGGCCAGAAGAAATTAACTCCAACTTGAAAATTGTTTATTACAAGTCAACAGTATCGGTAGTCGCTTTATCAATCGACAATAGAAATGGATAAGCTACACAACTGTCAGATAAATGCTGTGTATTTGACGACAAACATTCATAATTTAGCAGTATTCTTATTTCAGCGCTATCTGTAATGATAGTAGGGTGCTAAAATATGATTATGCTAGGTAGCAGTTTATGGAAGTTGTTTAAATGGAAATTGTTGTGTATGCATAATTTCATCATTGGGCTAATTTGCCAAAGAAAGAGAATGTGCTTAAATTTTATCCTGCTAAGTACCTTTATTAGTAACTTAGGGAGTTGCTTCTATTCTGTTATTGTTTCATTCATTTAATTAACGATGCTTTCTGTAATGACAAGAAATGATCCTGAAAACTGGAAAAACTACAACCAATATAATCACAGGTTTCATTACTTCTGGGAGTTTTTTCTGTAATCTTAAAATGCATCATTCATAATTCTAACAATTTAATTTACCTACAAATGACAATGAGAACAAATAACACCAGACATTTTCATATAAATACTATTTATTGATTAAAAATGAGAATTTATTAGTGAAACTATACTTATCAAATTAGTGCATTGTTCTATTTCATACTCATGCCATAAAATACTAACTGAACATCAATTGCAAGTTGATGGTGAGAAAATGACATCTCACTGTATATAAGATCTTGATGGGAACTTTTTTTAACTATTGTGATTTTAACCATATTTATTCGGTAATTAGCCCCTCTTTAGCATTGTGCCCATCCACATCTATCACATTAAAGACAATGGAGCCAACATCAGTTTGTGGTTGATCAGCAGGGTGCTTCACATTGAGTATAGAAACTAAATAGTAATTACAATTACAGACAAATTAAATACAGTCAAATCTGTCTACATATGCCATTCAATGAATAAATGAGAAAAGTGACCTTTATACACAAATGACCTTTATACAGAGGTTTAATTGCTATGAATTGCAATACATAAGAACTGAAATAAGATGACCTTTATACACAAGTGACCTTTATGTAGAAGTTCAATTACTATGAATTGCATTATGAAGAGAACCAAAATAGTGACCTTTATGCACTGGTGTCTTTTATACAGAGGTTCAATTACTATGAATTGAGCAAGATTTATGCTAAAAATCATGTGCCAACGATAATGCACATTTTGGCAAAATCAGGAAATTTTTAGCCCAACTAAAATATGCAATATTAAATTTAATGTTTATCACTGCTAAAATACCTGAAAAAATGTTTAATATTTTCGTTATGTTGAGGTTTGATCATGAGCCATCTCCTAAATCTTCTTGATCTTCATATTTAGGATACTGTTTCGGGTACTTATTCATACATTTCTGCATTTCCACTAAAGAGTCTATACAAACATCAAACTTGTCACTTTTGTTCCTATGTTCATGAATACATTCAAAAAATGTTCGTGACTCAACACCACACTTGCTGGCTACCATATTCCCTCGACAGGTACATTCCCAGTTTAGATTACCATCTTTGTCAACAAAACCTGAAAAATAACACGGAAATGTCTGAGATTTTTTTTCCATCACTAAGTTGTGGAAATGTGAATTTGTTAATCTGATCAGGAAAAGTACTCAGTGTACTTCTTATTACAATAGTCACATTATTTACCTATATTAATGGCATTTAACACTGTATTTAAAATTACATGGTCATTGAATTACTTGTTAAAATAGAATAAAAAAAATAACAATACTATTCATAAATGTACTTTTGGAAGGAACAAATTTAAAAGAAAACTTACAAACCACATATCCAACAAGAGTCATTTAAAGGCCTTTCTCCACCATCACGAAAAAGGCCGTCTGGCAGTTTTGATAAAATTTGAACTGTAAGCTGTGAATGTTTGGCTTATCAGAAATGAAATATGTACATTTTTTGTAACAAGCTGTAATGTCTAGCTATTGCACATTGTCATATAATAAGACCAACTTATACTCCAATAAAAATCAATATCCTAGTTTATAAGTAAGCAATTCAAAGTAATGCTTCAGACAGAATTTTAACAAAGGGCAACAACTCTGTAATTAAATGGTTGCAGGCCCTGAATTTGGTACACTGCACATTCTTTCAGTATGATCAGTGTGCTACACATAAAGTTTCACAAGTCTCAGTATTCTATTTTAAACATTGTAAGGAGAGATGGGCCACCAACAGACTCTGGATGAATGATTATTATTTGAACAGATGAGATGGTGGCTTAAAAATGCAATATACTGTAAAAACCTTTGTATCAAAATTTTTAAGCACCTATGTAATTTGTGCAGGTATTTTCTGGAACTTAAACAGGGGAAAAAAAGACCCCATTCATAAATTTTGTGTGTAAACAAAAAATATGATGTCCAGACTGCCCCAAAAACCTGTGACTGACCGATATCTAGGGGCCATCTTCAACATTAATAGTGACTCCAACTGCACATAATGGTAAACATTCTTATCTAATAAAATATATGTACACACTGTAATTTGATCCAGTCATACATGTATATAACTATCAACATCCAACATACCTTTCATAAAATTCTCTGGTCTATCAATTTCTTTTGGTATAGGTAATTCACTTGGCTTGTTGGCATCTTCTACAGTCATAAATACATATTTGTCTTTACCTGAAAAAAAAAAATATGCATATTGGTCTGACAAAAAATTATCAATGACAACAGAAGGATGTAATGTCCTAGATGTGACTGTAAAACTTGTAAATTGAAGGTACAGAGCTGTAGGCTGTTAGCGATTTATGAATATCACACCAGAAGTCACTGTACATAGGCCAGTGACTGTAATATATATCACTGTCATCAAAAACTGGCAGAAAGTAACACACGTAAACATTAGAGTATTTGTTTCTGTTATTTTTCAACTTTCATGTTAGTGGTTTTTTATGTAGTTCATTACTGGTACATAGAATTTTATTTGTTCGCAGACAAATCTGAATTTGTTTCAAAATTAAGGGTTAATTGACATAAAATATCAAAATTGCATACCTGGAATGATATGCCTAAATTACTTATTTTGATATTGAGTCTAACTTCAAAACTTCATGTCATTTAGTCTTATTCCATATAAATGGTTTCATTAATATTTTCATTCTCCTAAAATTACTATTTTTGGTTGACCACCCCTTGTTACATTAACCGATACAAAATCTAGATTAGCGATACAACCATACGTTGTGAACCACACACATAGCGAACACCAATACTATTCTTGATATTTAATCAGAGAAGTCAAAGCCCTTTACTTGGGGGATGGTGGAGGGGCAACTACCATACTTATTCTAATATTTTTTTTCCGATCGTAAATTTCTCTCTTAAAATTACAGGTCTTTGCTGACACGAATGTGATTTTTATTTCATAAATATGGTAATGGTGACTTAATGGAAAATGAACCATCTTCGGTAGCCCAGATTTTAAGGTTAATATATGGGCATCTGGGTTATTTAATAAAATAACCACTTGTCCACAAGCACCTGTCTGAATGATATTTTAATGTCAATATCAATATATTTTGACTGTGAACCCTTTAGAATAATAAGTAAATGTAAATGTTAATAACAGCAGAATTATGTGAATACTGTCATCATATTATCATTTTAGATACAGAAATCTCCGGGTCTATGAAAAGGATCATTCAGATCATTACTGGTCCCGTGACCTTCCGAAGCCGGTCACATTTTGCAATGATATTGCAACAATTCTGAAGAAAACAAAACCTTCACCAAAATATTTCGACATTTTATCTGCATGTACTTTCGGATAACTTACCGTCTTCCTGGCAGAAGGACATGATGAAATGTTTTGTTGTCGTTATAAAACTTCAGACAGCAAATACACACGTGTGTTTACCATTAAGCAGGACGAGGTTTCGCTAAGGCTTCGATGCATAGAATACAAACATTCAACTGACATGTAATGGAGGCGACATCTGCTGGCCGATTGCAAATAATAAGGGGGTGAACTGTAAGTTGCCGATAAAAAAGACCTTCTGGACGGTTAAAAAAAATCCACCGTTGATTTAAAATTATTATTAGGGCCCCGCATCGCGATGCGGGTGCCCTATAGTAATCACCTTGTCCGTCTGTCCGTCTGTCTGTCCGTTTCGCTTTCCGCACGATATCTTGAGAAGGAATGATGAGATTTCGATGAAACTTGCTTATGATACCTGGTACATAAGTCCCTCGCTCAAGTTCGATGTTCGCCAAATTCCGCGCATATTTAATGAGGCTGCTGCAATCTGATTGGCTGAATGTTTTACATGTCTGTCGGTTTCGCTTTCCGCGCGATATCTTGAGAAGGAATGATGGGATTTCGATGAAACATGCTTATGATACTTGGTACATAAGTCCCTTGCTCAAGTTCGATGTTCGCCAAATTCCGCGCATATTTAATGAGGCTGCTGCAATCTGATTGGCTGAATGTTTTACATGTCTGTCGGTTTCGCTTTCCACGCGATATCTTGAGAAGGAATGATGGGATTTCGATGAAACTTGCTTATGATACTTGGTACATAAGTCCCTCGCTCAAGTTCGATGTTTGCCGAATTCCGCGCATATTTAATGAGGCTGCTGCAATCTGATTGGCTGAATGTTTTACAGAGAATATCTTCTGAAGGAATGATTTGGGATTTCTTTAAAACTTGCTTCGTGATACTTGGTACATAAGCCCCTCATTCGAGTTCAATGTTCACCCTGTCCGTCTGTCTGTCCGTCCGTTTCCCTGTCCGTCGATCCATATATCTGTCCATCTGTCCATTTTCATTGGATTTTGATGAAAGTTGCTTTCAATACTTGACACCTGTCCATATATTTCTTAATATTAAGAAACTCAATCATAAGGGGTAGGTATTATGCGGGGCCCTTCCTCGACATTGGTCTAGTTATTATTACATATATTGTTATATTGTTTGTTGTTTAAGTATTGGTGTATAAACTATGTAATGGAGAGGGCTTAATAAGTTGGTAAAACTTGTGTCCAATCCTATTGTACGAACTTTCTGCAACAAATAATTATTTAATCAAAAAGCATACCAAAACCATCGTTTTCTTTAATTCTTAACGTTCTTATGTGTAAGTGGCTGGGAAAAAATGCACTTCATCGATCTTAAACACGGATCGTGTATCAGAATCGACGATCATGATACACAGCCAAAAAAGCCGTCACACTTGAATAAATATAGTATACGGAAATGCCCATATAAATGATCTGTTACAATTTTGTCCTGTTTTGACACTTTTACGCTAGTTTGACTACATCATGACGGTTTAAACTTTCGACAATGATCAATTAGTTTAGATAAAGTTCTAGTATTCATAAGACTACAGCATATACATAGTGAATGTGTCTATAAACATTGGACTTTTCTTGTGGCATATATTGCCAATATAAATGACCACGGACGAAAACTGACAACTGACCAAACAAGACGGTTCAATGCTTTATCGTACATTGTCCTAGCATGGAGAAGGTGATCTAAAATAGAGTGTGGGAAACGTTAAAAGTAGAATTGTGGTATTACGTGGATGTTGTCTACGTGCTTAATCAGTAGAATGAATCGGAGTTGAAAGCTTGACCCAGGAATTTAGCTATACTGGTTCACCAGACACATTGAACATGGACGTCAGGATCCTGCTCTTCCTACTACCAGGTAAATGTAAAATGTCTTCCTTTTTATAAAGAAACTTGCCTTTCCGTATATTGTCAAAATATCTCATGATTTTGGTAAATTGAAGAGCGTCTTCTGAAACTTGGAAGACAATGCTCCTTATCAGACTTTCAAATACTACTACAGCAATGGCGGATCAACATGGCAGCGTTTGAACACGTGTCCTTATCAGTAATATTATGTTTACATCATGTACATATGTTTAAATATGAGTTGTTTTATGACGCACCAACGAAAAAGTAGTCCAACTAAAAAAATTAGCGTTTTGCACGTGGCCTGCATGGACTGTGCAGGGAATCCCCAGTACCTCATTTCCACCGGGAAGACCCACACACTCCATACCTTTGCCCTCACGCCATCAACAAGACTGGCATACTTTCCCTCAGACGCCTCTTGGCATCGCTCTTTCCCCCGAGTCACAGGGTGTTGTACGACGATAGAACACGGGTCAGGTTGCCCGGTTGGTCACATAATGGGCAGTTGGGTTTTTCTGCCAATCCCCATCAATGCAATTTGGCATGGCTCCATCTTCTTACCTCAGAGAACGTCTTTCTATTGTTCCCATCTAGTCCATGCACCCTAAGATCCCATCTCTACTATATAAATTCACCACTAACGCGCACTCAAATATGACATCTCTACTCTAAAAACATCACTCTTGTCGGCCATTAGACAAGAGAAAACCCTGTCTGATGGTGTACAGTGCCTGCTTCATTATGACGATTTTATAGTAATTTCTCAAAATATTTGTATCTAGTCTTTGTATCTAACATCGATGAAACAATTTTTAATTATTTGCATAGGAACACAATACATGTCCTAATAATATATCTGGCCCACTACACCCAAGTTGTACATTGCAGAAAAGCTTAAAAGTTTGTGACAAGGTACACATATAAATAGCTAGACCTCTAAATATAAATCTAGAATAAAATAAACCACTATATTGGCAAATGGTTAATACAACTGCACGATCTTTCATGACTCCATAGTCAGTCAATCCAATGGTTGGTTGGCTGGTCGGTTTGTTGGGCTGGTTGGTTGATTGGTTGACTGGTCGGTTTGTTGGGTTGGTTGATTAATTGGTTGACTGGTCGGTTGGTTGGGTTGGTTGATTAATTGGTTGATTGGTCGGTTTGTTGGGCTGGTTGATTGATTGGTTGACTGGTCGGTTGGTTGGGCTGGTTGATTGATTGGTTGATTGGTCGGTTGGTTGGGCTGGTTGATTGATTGGTTGACTGGTCGGTTGGTTGGGCTGGTTGATTGGTCGGTTGGTTGGGCTGGTTGATTGGTGGGTTGACTGGTCGGTTTGTTGGGCTAGTTGACTGGTTGGTTGATTGGTCGGTTGGTTGGGCTGGTTGGTTGGTGGGTTGACTGGTCGGTTTGTTGGGCTAGTTGACTGGTTGGTTGATTGGTCGGTTTGTTGGGCTGGTTGGTTGGTGGATTGACTGGTCGGTTTGTTGGGCTGGTTGATTGATTGGTTGACTGGTCGGTTGGTTGGGCTGGTTGATTGATTGGTTGATTGGTCGGTTTGTTGGGCTGGTTGATTGATTGGTTGACTGGTCGGTTGGTTGGGCTGGTTGATTGATTGGTTGACTGGTCGGTTGGTTGGGCTGGTTGATTGATTGGTTGACTGGTCGATTGGTTGGGCTGGTTGATTGGTTGATTGGTCGGTTGGTTGGTTGTTTACAGGTTTTCCTTCTGCGTGATTCATCTTATCACTAGGCGTTGTCTTACCAACGAATGTTAGTGATATTCTGGAATGAAGAAACCGTCTTTGAACGCGTCAAGTGTAGTTATGATCGTTTTCAGACGAATCTAGGTCCCGTGTCGAAAGTTGTAATGGTTGTTCTCGGACGAGTAGAGATTCGACTTGGAAAATAGTATTCTCAGACGAATCTAAATTCCAAGACAAAGAAACCGAAAATACCGACATATTAACGGAATCATAATGCAAACGCAAATTCGATGAAACTAAGGACGATAATATTTGATAAAGGAGATAGATTATGTTGACATGTTGGTTTTTTTCTCTGTTTCTGGCACATAAGGAAATCTGCCACATCGGGTACAACCAGTGGTTCATAAGACAGCTTATTATTAATGTGTTCACGGAGCAAATTTCATAAGATATCTTATTTATGAAAGAATATATCGAATGTAGTAAGTAAGATATATAATTCACTAAATTAGATTTTATTTATTAAATTATCTTAATAAACGTTATCGAGTACTGGATCATTGCTCCATGGATAAATGACAGCTTTGCTTGACATAGGTCCAGTCAACACGACAAAAGAACGGGATGGCGTACAATGATGTTGACACATCTTTCACACGCATACGTCAGTCAGAAACGTCTTTTCGCAACCATTAAACATTTATCTACAAGGCTTGGTTTTAATACACGGAATTACTCAGATGTAACCGACCACGACCACGACACTGACAAATACATCTAGACCGCGGGCAGTTTAAGTCAAAACTCTTCGAACTAACGACAGCAACCCAGCAGCGGACCCTGATAGTTGGATCTGAAGACATGTTGTAATTGTTTGTAGTTTTGCCGCAATTATGAAACAATTTGTTACATTTTGAAATTACTTAACTGTCTTGCATATATTTTTTGCACACTGTTGATTTAAATTTTCCGTCAGTACTTCTTGGTAAAATGTTAACTGTGGGTATATCGCTGGTTTATTTACAGTGGTGTGCGGTCAATGTCCATCACCATGGAATCTAGAATTTCAGGATTCCTGTTACATGATCGTTAAAGAGAAGAAACCGTGGGCTGAAGCTGACGTAAATATATACATATTAAAATGATTTTAATACAAAATTCTTGATACCAATATGTTATTAAATCCTCAATGAAACAAGCATTTTCATTGGTAAATAATTTCACCCCAGAACATAATAAAAATGGACGCCATTTTGAAACATCACATTTCATTGTCCTATGCTTTGGTATAATATTTTAAAATGTCTGTAGTTTGAGTTATAACCCAAAAACGTAAGAATAAATAGAGCTAACGATAAAATATCCTATGATCTTGTTTTTCGCCTTCAATATGTCGAACCAAATTGAAAAAAATTATTGTGGATATCCGTAAGTAACTTGTGAATATTCATGAACAATGCCAATGAAACAAATAAAGCATATTTACTAGCATTTTTAATTCACTGTTTCACTCCCTACACAAACTGCACAATTTGTTAACAGCCTCGAGCCTTTAAAAAGTAAAATTTATACATAAAAGTCGTTCTATTTATAAACCATGACAGGAAAACAAGTGAGGAATATTGATTTGTCATCATTTTTAAGTTCCTCTTTTGCGCTTTAATTTTCAGCGTAACTGCGGGCTTCACCACAGTAATGGTCACCTCGTTAAGATAGAATCAGCTCAGGAGCAGGAATTTCTCACAAACCACATCAGGTCCCACCAAGGTAATTACCCACGGATTACCGACTTCTAATTACTGTTCAGTACAATTAGTGTTTATTCAATGTAATATAGTAGGCCTTTGTACATCAAATATAATGTAGATTTCTTTCTTTCAATAACAGCTCTTTCGCTGACTCTCCCTCAAGAACGCGAATGGTCGACGAAGTGTTATCATGTTCTGTCTTCGTCGACCTAAACACGACACTTATTAAGCAATAGAATGAAAGCATTATGTGTATCGTGTACCTGCCATTGACCTCACAACGAAGGAAAGAGGGTGCAAAGGTCACCAAGTTCTTGCTTCTTCTACTTAAACACGAAGGAGCAAGCCAGAGATGGCACGAGGGCAAGATTAAATTTGATCTCTCGTTACACTTGTATGTAAGCTGTATTCTAAGGGACTTGTTCCACAGAATATGGAAAAGTTTCGTGGTTGCCATGGTGACGTCACTGGGAAACCATTCCTTAAGCGATATGGAATGGTGTTCTCTATATTTGTTGATAAACCAGATGATCATCTTGTTTGCCGGATGTTATTCTCAATAAAGATAATGTGGCACTACTTATTTCAATTGGTTACAACGTCCATGGCAGGCATCAGAAAACGGTTACCCTACTGGAACACCTGTTCTTATTCTCTTTGGGCACTATTATTGTCAAATTTAAATATTTCATTTGTTCATAATTTTGCCTTTGCGTAATCCATTTTTGAGTTCAAAACATGCTATTTTGTCAGTACTTTTTCATTCATTATTTTTGCGATATGTAATGATATATTTATCAATGCAGTGGACAGAAATGGTCGCCATATTTTTATCTCGGCTATTTTGCCCACTATCACCATGTTGTGGACCATTCTACTCGCCTTACATTTGTGGTCCGCTTGTAGTTCGTCTGTGGTCCACCCGTGAACAGATCTTGTTACCGCTATTCTAGTTCTGAGAAGTACTGAACGGAACTTTCTCAAAGTTCATATGTAGGTTCCGCTTGATCAGTAGTTGTGTCTGTTTGATTTTAGGACTGACGAGAAAAACAAAATGGCTGACAGGTGGCCACAGGACTATGAAAGCATGTTATTACTCTTCTTTGAGGAGTACGGGACGGATCTTTCGAAAATTTCAAATGTCGGGATTTCTTTGGCCCTAGTTATATACTCTATAACAGATCAGAAGAGCAATTTATCATACAGACGGCCATCTTTGATTTTGCTCATGAAACTTTTTTAACACTTTTTCTAAAAAAAATACTGGACGGATCTTTCTAATATTTCATATGAAGGCCCTTAGTTGTGCCGTTTAGATTTCGGGACTGGTCAGAAAAAAGAAAATGTTTAAGGAGTGGCAATCTTGGACTTTGGCCATGCAAGTTTATTATCATTTTCTCTTAGGAATTACTGGATGGATTTGATATTGGAACTGATCAGAAGAAACAAGAGGCCAATAGGGTCAGTATCGCTCACCTGGTTGACTTCCTGAAATTTGCTTCACCTAAACTAAATGAAACAAATCTATTGTATTTCCCCCACTATATTTGCCTCTCCCAACCAAGGGAGCCTCCGAGACCCACAGTTTTTTCTTTACAAAATTGATTTTCTTCACCCTAGGATGCTTCAGACAAAATGCTGACATTTCTACAGAAGAAAACGGCATTGAATGAATTTGCTGTTCTGCTCCTATTTGGCTCTGCCCCTCTAGCACAAGGGAGCAGAGACCCTTTGTTTATGCATTATTGATTCCTCTTCACCCTAGGATGCTTCAGACCAAATTGGGACAAAATCCAATAATTCCTACAAAAGTGGTTGAATATTTCCCATATTTGGTCATGCCCCTCTGGCCTCTCGGAAGGTCAGGTCAATTGTTTATACAAAATTAAGTCTCTTTAAATAAAGGACATTTTGGACCGACTTGGTACAAAATCCTCACCTTCCTACAAAAGAAGGATTTAAAAGGATTTGATCCATTTTTTCCAACTAGGCCACATCCCTCTGGCCAAAGGGGGCTGAGACCAAATGTTTTCCAGTTTTAAGATTATCCAATATCCACTGGGCAATGGGCCTCCAGTATGTTGTTCAATGCTGTAGTCACATGTTACTTAGAGGAGACTCTGCCTTAAAATAACCCTGGCTGTTCATGGGGTAATGAACATGACAAACAAACAAATCATTGAAGAGAATATGAAATTAAAGTCCTGGACTCACTTTAGGTCTTAGTGATGGGAGATTTTTAAAAAATGATATTCTGGAATTACCAGAAAAAAATCCTTCAAAATTACTGGCATCTTTTGTACTAAACGTATGTATCAACTTATTGCAGCTGAATATGCTGGGGAACTGTGGACAGATGGAACCGATGTGGAGGTACAAGGCGAGTTTGTGTGGGATTATCTATACCAACGCCTTACCTATACTAACTGGAAAGCTGGAGAACCAAACAACCAGGGCGGCCATGAACACTGTGTGGAGTATGGACGTTCCTATAACTATCAATGGAATGACATTCCTTGTGACAGGAGCTACCAGTCCATCTGTGAATTTGAGTATGTTCCTATGATCAGGAAATATTACCTCTTCTAATATTCACAAAAAAGATGTCTCTTTAGGTTTATAAACCTTCCAGTTCTAAATATTCAATAAAATATGATATATATGATATATAATACATATAATATTAAAAAAAAAAAGTTAAATAAATAAAATAGAGTAGTGCCCTCGGGTGGATCTGTATAGGATTCAATAGAGTAGTGTCCTCGTGTGGATCTGTATAGGATTAAATAGAGTAGTGTCCTCGTGTGGATCTGTATAGGATTAAATAGGGTAGTGTTCTTGGTTAGACCTGTATAGGATTAAATAGAGTAGTGTCCTCGGGTGGATCTGTATAGGATTAAATAGAGTAGTGTCCTCGGGTGGATCTGTATAGGATTAAATAGAGTAGTGTCCTCGTGTGGATCTGTATAGGATTAAATAGGGTAGTGTTCTTGGTTAGACCTGTATAGGATTAAATAGAGTAGCGTCCTCGTGTGGATCTGTATAGGATTAAATAGAGTAGTGTCCTCGGGTGGATCTGTATAGGATTAAATAGAGTAGTGTCCTCATGTAGATCTGTATAGGATTAAATAGACCAGTGTCCTCGGCTGGATCCATATAGGGTTAAATAGAGTAGTGTCCTCAGGTGGATCTGTATAGGATTAAATAGAGTAGTGTCCTCGTGTGGATCTGTGTAGGATTAAATAGAGTAGTGTCCTCGGGTGGATCTGTATAGGATTAAATAGACCAGTGTCCTCGGCTTGATCCATATAGGGTTAAATAGAGTAGTGTCCTGGTGTAGATCTGTATAGGGTTAAATAGAGTAGTGTCCTCGGGTAGATCTGTATAGGATTAAATAGTGTAGTGTCCTCAGGTAGATCTGTATAGGATTAAATAGAGTAGTGTCCTCAGGTGGATCTGTATAGGATTAAATAGAGTAGTGTCCTCGTGTGGATCTGTGTAGGATTAAATAGAGTAGTGTCCTCGGGTGGATCTGTATAGGATTAAATAGACCAGTGTCCTCGGCTGGATCCATATAGGGTTAAATAGAGTAGTGTCCTCGGGTGGATCTGTGTAGGATTAAAAAGAGTAGTGTCCTCAGGTGGATCTGTATAGGATTAAATAGAGTAGTGTCCTCGTGTGGATCTGTGTCCTCGGGTGGATCTGTATAGGATTAAATAGAGTAGTGTCCTCGGGTGGATCTGTATAGGATTAAATAGAGTAGTGTCCTCGTGTGGATCTGTATAGGATTAAATAGAGTAGTGTCCTCGGGTGGATCTGTATAGGATTAAATAGAGTAGTGTCCTCGGGTGGATCTGTATAGGATTAAATAGAGTAGTGTCCTCAGGTGGATCTGTATAGGATTAAATAGAGTAGTGTCCTCGTGTGGATCTGTGTAGGATTAAATAGAGTAGTGTCCTCGGGTGGATCTGTATAGGATTAAATAGAGTAGTGTCCTCAGGTGGATCTGTATAGGATTAAATAGAGTAGTGTCCTCAGGTGGATCTGTATAGGATTAAATAGAGTAGTGTCCTCGGGTGGATCTGTATAGGATTAAATAGAGTAGTGTCCTCAGGTGGATCTGTATAGGATTAAATAGAGTAGTGTCCTTGGTTAGATCTGTATAGGATTAAATAGAGTAGTGTCCTCAGGTAGATCTGTATAGGATTAAATAGAGTAGTGTCCTCGTGTGGATCTGTATAGGATTAAATAGAGTAGTGTCCTCGGGTGGATCTGTATAGGATTAAATAGAGTAGTGTCCTCGGGTGGATCTGTATAGGATTAAATAGAGTAGTGTCCTCAGGTGGATCTGTATAGGATTAAATAGAGTAGTGTCCTTGGTTAGATCTGTATAGGATTAAATAGAGTAGTGTCCTCGGGTGGATCTGTATAGGATTAAATAGAGTAGTGTCCTCGGGTAGATCTGTATAGGATTAAATAGAGCAGTGTCCTCGGGTGGATCTGTATAGGATTAAATAGTGTAGTGTCCTCGTGTGGATCTGTATAGGATTAAATAGAGTAGTGTCCTTGGTTAGATCTATATAGGATTAAAAAGAGTAGTGTCCTCAGGTAGATCTGTATAGGATTAAATAGAGTAGTGTCCTTGGGTGGATCTGTTTAGGATTAAATAGAGTAGTGTCCTTGTGTGGATCTGTATAGGATTAAATAGAGTAGTGTCCTCAGGTGTGTCTATATGGGATTAAAAAGAGTAGTGTCCTGGTGTAGATCTGTATAGGATTAAATAGAGTAGTGTCCTTGGGTGGATCTGTATAGGATTAAATAGAGTAGTGTCCTCGTGTGGATCTGTATAGGATTAAATAGAGTAGTGTCCTCGGGTGGATCTGTATAGGATTAAATAGAGTAGTGTCCTCGGGTAGATCTGTATAGGATTAAATAGAGTAGTGTCCTCAGGTGGATCTGTATAGGATTAAATAGAGTAGTGTCCTCAGGTGTGTCTATATAGGATTAAAAAGAGTAGTGTCCTCAGGTAGATCTGTATAGGATTAAATAGAGTAGTGTCCTTGGGTGGATCTGTTTAGGATTAAATAGAGTAGTGTCCTTGTGTGGATCTGTATAGGATTAAATAGAGTAGTGTCCTCAGGTGTGTCTATATAGGATTAAAAAGAGTAGTGTCCTCGGGTGGATCTGTGTAGGATTAAATAGGGTAGTGTCCTTTTGTGGATCTGTATAGGATTAAATAGAGTAGTGTCCTCAGGTGGATCTGTATAGGATTAAATAGAGTAGTGTCCTCGGGTGGATCTGTATAGGATTAAATAGAGTAGTGTCCTCGTGTGGATCTGTATAGGATTAAATAGAGTTCCTTAACAAGAAAACATAAAGCAAAACGGAAACTCAACACTACAAATTGTTTTGTGGTCAAATTCCACCAAATGTCCTTGTAGCGTTGAGTTTCCTATTTGCTTTATTATAAAAAAAAACGTTCATAATTTCTTTTAATTCTAATATTCACATAAAAGATCTTTTGTTTTGTTTGTTTACTCTTTACATAAAAAGTTTCTTTTAAGTTTTTCAAACTTCTTCTAATATTTGCACAAGAAATGTTATCTTTGTAAAGTTCATAACCCTTAATTTTTCTAATATTCACATAAAAGATGTGTATTTATGTTAGAATCATATAGAACTACATCCATGACCATATAACAGTTTGTAGGTCTTCAAACCACCCTCCGTGATTATGACGTCTGTGTACATGTAATTCCTCGTCAACCTATACCAGACTTGACATCCCTTTACAGTCACCATACATAATATTGGGGTACCGCAATGTGCTCTGAGAGAGACTTGTCCCTGATGTCATTATCTATCCCGAAATTCTACATATACTTGACCTAACACCATTTTGTATTGCATATCTTTACTTGCATTGCTGAATGACAGGGCTAATAACAGTGTTGTTTTATTTACAGGAAGACAATCACAGCATAAACAACAGACATCTTGGATCCTGAATAACAGTAAACAATCACTGTACATCACTTTACTGTTCAGCACAAATATTCAGAATGAAATATATACGCTTCCTATGGGACTTGACATTTCTGAAGTTTCTTGTTTTTATTTTTATTGTTGTGTTTTGTTTCCCTCTTTTTGTATATTTTTTGTGATATATTCTTCAATTCCTATCCCTGATTTATATTATAACAGAGTACAATTTTGACCCTACCTGATTTATATTATAACAGAGTACAATTTTGACCCTACCTGATTTACATTATAACAGAGTACAATATTATCCCTACCTAATTTATATTATAACAGAGTACAATTTTGACCCTACCTAATTTATATTATAACAGAGTACAATTTTGACCCTACCTGATTTATATTATAACAGCGTACAATTTTGACCCTACCTTATTTATATTATAACAGAGTACAATATTATCCCTACCTAATTTATATTATAACAGAGTACAATATTATCCCTACCTAATTTATATTATAACAGAGTACAATTTTGACCCTACCTGATTTATATTATAACAGAGTACAATTTTGACCCTACCTAATTTATATTATAACAGAGTACAATTTTGACCCTACCTAATTTATATTATAACAGAGTACAATTTTGACCCTACCTAATTTATATTATAACAGAGTACAATTTTGACCCTACCTAATTTATATTATAACAGAGTACAATTTTGACCCTACCTGATTTATATTATAACAGTACAATTTTGACCCTACCTGATTTATATTATAACAGTACAATTTTGACCCTACCTAATTTACATTATAACAGCGTACAATTTTGACCCTACCTAATTTACATTATAACAGTACAATTTTGACCCTACCTAATTTACATTATAACAGCGTACAATTTTGACCCTACCTAATTTACATTATAATGGAGTAGAATTTTGACCCTCCCTGATTTATGTTATAACACAGTACAATATTGACCCTACATGCCTAGGTACTGGCAGTGCTATGGTGGGATTATCTGATAAAAATCTATTTTGTCTTGTGAACTTCTCGTTCAAGGAGGCCAAAGAAGAGGACATTTGTAGGTATGGTAAGCACTTGAAAGGTTTTACACACACTGTTTCCTCAGGATATTAAGACTTTTAACACTCAACATCTTACAGAGATAGATGTCGAAGGAGACACTCTCTTCTGCAATATCAACCTGAAGTCACACAGTAACAGGGTGACCTGGTGTCACACAGTAACAGGGTGACCTGGTGTCACACAGTAACCAGGTTAAATTATCCAATGTAACAGGGTGACTTGGTGTCCCACAGTAACAGGGTGACTTGGTGTCACACAGTAACAGGGAGACTTGGTGTCACACAGTAACCACACAGTAACAGGGTGACTTGGTGTCCCACAGTAACAGGGTGACTTGGTGTCACACAGTAACAGGGTGACCTGGTGTCCCACAGTAACAGGGTGACTTGGTGTTACACAGTAACAGGGTGACTTGGTGTCACACAGTAACAGGGTGACAGTGTCACACAGTAACAGGGAGACTTGGTGTCACACAGTAACCAGGTTAAATTATTTCACAGTAACAGGGTGACTTGGTGTCCCACAGTAACAGGGTGACTTGGTGTCACACAGTAACAGGGTGACCTGGTGTCCCACAGTAACAGGGTGACTTGGTGTTACACAGTAACAGGGTGACTTGGTGTCACACAGTAACAGGGTGACAGTGTCACACAGTAACAGGGTGACTTGGTGTCACAAAGTAACCAGGTAAAATGATCTCACAGTAACTGGGAGACCTGGTGCCAGAAAGTAACAGAATGACTTGGTGTCACACAGTAACTGGGTTAAATGATATCACACAATAACAGAGTGATCTGCTGTGACACAGTAGCAGAGAGACCTAATGTCTCATTAGAACAAGGATACATGATGTCATACAGGAAATAGGTTTTTGTTAGCTTTGAGGAACAGATGTTTTCCTGGGCGTTATTATGTGAAATCAGACAGGAACAGGTAGCTTTGGTGTCATCAAAGTGGCCACATGGAGAGAATAATGTACATCATAACTTGATAAATTCTAAACATTTGATTCAATCTAGAGGTATATCAGGTTCTTCAATCTGAAAGCATATCAGGTAGGATATTTTTTTTTTTTTTAAATTGACAAAAAAACATAAAAAAAAGTTTGGATTTTGGAAATTTAATGGTTACTTCCAATCATCCTATTGTATTATGCATCATCGGGTGACCATGATACATTGGGAGATAACCTGTGATTGTCACATTGAAGTACAATTGATTTTGAAAGTTGCTTTACAGGTAAAACATTAAACCCAGGCACTTTTGAAATTCATCGTGATATCAAACTTCACCACCATTTCTTAAAGTAATCAATAAGCTTGATTACCCGGCAGCATTGTGGAAGTCATCCTCATGCCAGATTGTTGCAGCACCACATATGTTAATCCAGCACTTTGGGACGTTGTCATGAAGTATGATTACCCCAGCACTATGAAGTATCACTCTGTATCATTACATGGTCACACACTCTTGATGATCTGCTGTCTTTCCTCTAACAAAAAGTTCCGGATGAGAGCATCAATATTTTCCTCCGATCGAGCCACTTGCTTTTCCATTGTATGTTTAAAGTCTTCTTTAACATTTTTGTTTACACCTCGAGTCACTGTTCTCTGTCTGAAACACAAATTCCTCATCTTTGACGGATGCAAAATAAAGTTTTCAAGTTCAACAAAAAACGAAAAAAACAAATTTTTGTTTTAAAAAACCTGCTAATGAATAAAAAGAAATATTTCAATGTCAGGTGTAACAACCTCACTAAGAGATTTGTAAAACATATATCTCTACCGCAGCTAAAAAGAAAATTTATATAAACAAAAACAGTACACAAACTACAAACAAGTTGTACAGTAAAAATTATCAGAAAAAACTGACTTTGAACAAATTTTCGAAATACAGCATATATGCATACTGAATATCATGAGGAAAATTGAAAAGATATTTTCACCATACATGCATACAGCATTTCATATATACTTGTTTATCTACTCAGTCTGACCACCGCCTAATATTTAGAGCTATAGACTGTGACTTGTACAGTAGACTAGTAACTGTACACCAGACTGGTAACTGTACAGTAGAGTGGTAACTGTACACCAGACTGGTAACTGTACATTAGACTGGTAACTGTACAGTAGACTGGTAACTGTACAGTAGACTGGTAACTGTACACCAGACTGGTAACTGTACATTAGACTGGTAACTGTACAGTAGACTGGTAACTGTACAGTAGTCTGGTAACTGTACAGTAGACTGGTAACTGTACAGTAGACTGGTAACTGTACAGTAGACTGGTAAATGTACTGGTAACTGTACAGTAGACTGGTAACTGTACAGCAGACAGGTAACTGTACAGTAGTCTGGTAACTGTACAGTAGACTGGTAACTGTACAGTAGACTGGTAACTGTACAGTAGACTGGTAACTGTACAGTAGAGTTGTAACTGTACATTAGACTGGTAACTGTACAGTAGTCAGGTAACTGTACAGTAGACTGGTAACTGTACAGTAGTCAGGTAACTGTACAGTAGACTGGTAACTGTACAGTAGTCTGGTAAATGTACAGTAGACAGGTAACTGTACAGTAGTCTGGTAACTGTACAGCAGACCGGTAACTGTACAGTAGTCTGGTAACTGTACAGTAGTCTGGTAACTGTACAGTAGACTGGTAACTGTACAGTGGTCTGGTAACTGTACATTAGACTGGTAACTGTACAGTAGACTGGTAACTGTACAGTAGTCTGGTAACTGTACAGCAGACTGGTAACTGTACAGTAGTCTGGTAACTGTACAGTAGTCTGGTAACTGTACAGTAGACTGGTAACTGTACATTAGACTGGTAACTGCACAGTAGACTGGTAACTGCACAGCAGACTGGTAACTGTACAGTAGACTGGTAACTGTACATCAGACTGGTAACTGTACAGTAGTCTGGTAACTGTACAGCAGACTGGTAACTGTACACCAGACTGGTAACTGTACATCAGACTGGTAACTGTACAGTAGTCTGGTAACTGTACAGTAGATTGGTAACTGTACAGTACACTAGTAACTGTACAGCAGACTGGTAACTGTACAGCAGTCTGGTAACTGTATAGCAGACTGGTTACTGTACAGTAGTCTGGTAACACTGGTAACTGTACAGTAGTCTGGTAGATGTACAGTAGACAGGTAACTGTACAGTAGTCTGGTAACTGTACAGTAGACTGGTAACTGTACAGTAGACTGGTAACTGTACAGTAGACAGCAGACTGGTAACTGTACAGTAGTCTGGTAACTGTATAGCAGACTGGTAACTGTACAGTAGACTGGTATCTGTACAGTAGTCTGGTAACTGTATAGCAGACTGGTAACTGTACAGTAGACTGGTATCTGTACAGTAGTCTGGTAACTGTACAGTAGACTGGTATCTGTACAGTAGTCTGGTAACTGTATAGCAGACTGGTAACTGTATAGTAGACTGGTTACTGTACAGTAGACTGGTAACTGTACAGTAGTCTGGTAACTGTACAGTAGACTGGTAACTGTACAGTAGACAGGTAACTGTACAGTAGTCTGGTAACTGTACAGTAGTCTGGTAACTGTACAGCAGACTGGTTACTGTACAGTAGACTATGCTATTCCTTCATCAATATACTTACTGAGCTATAGATTTTGTACTGATGGGAAGTATGTCCAGTGACACTTTGCCACCTTCTTGTGTTTTCAGAAATGCGAACTCCTCCAAAATATCAATGTCTACATGGTTAAGGATGTATACCAAAAAATATTCTATCAAAATATTTCAGTTAATAATGATGACACGCACATCAACCGTTTCCAATAAAATTCAATTTACCTTAAAATAATCTTTTCAATAATTTGTCCAACCAAAATAACAGAATTTTCATTGATGATCATGTCTTCACTTCATTTGTGATATTAATCAATTAAAGAAAAACAAGATACTTATTAACTTTCCAAGAACTTAATTAAAACATTGTGATGGTTGATAATTTCGTGCAAGTTCAAGTGCTGTAATTCTGACAAAAAAGGTTAATGAGAAGGAAATGAAACATCACTACACCTTCACCTTCCTATAACACAATTACACATCAAATCTGGGGTCAATATGCAAATAAGAGTAGAAACAAAAATTATGATAAAATAGTGAAATGGCGAGTACACAAAATGTTTTATAATCCGACAAATACTCAAAGGATACTGATGATAAAGTTGAAGAAGAGGTTGTAAGTAAATGACCCTTGACTTCTGATTTTCTTTGCGACTTGTTGAAATAACGGCTCCTGTCGAGGCCAATCATATTGTAGTAAAACAACCATGTGACCAAGGGCTGTATCATCTGTTTTGTTGGGAGATAATGCTTTTTCCTGAAAAAAAAAAAACAAATCCAAAATAAAAATATAAGATTAGATAACTGAATGAACAGATACAGGCATAAAAGAGTTCCATTTCCTGTTTTCATTTCTTCTTTTTTAGATACAAGAATTGGTCCTGTCTAGCTAGACCTTGAGTATTCCTAGACAAGTACCGTTCTTTTGTCATGCCTCATCTCCCTAACATATATTTAAGAGTCAATTCATTACAAGACACATTTAATATCTGTTATTCTCTAACATCAGAGATAAAAAAAGCTCCATGGACTTTAACTCCTAATCAGTAAACACAAAGATGACCCGAACAGGAAAGAAATGAATTTGATAAGAAAGTCAATTGATATTATTATGTTATAATATGTACAGAAGTTAATAAAAAAAAATTAAACAATTTGTTTGTTTAATATCATGAAACAATAAAAAGTTTTATCCCACATAGCAGCTTACATTACATGAACTACCCTTGAATGACTCAATGGCAGCTGAAAGGCAGCCATAGATATCTGATTTGTCAAATTATAGGCTTTGATATGTTACATCGTTTGACAAAGTTTCATTAAATTGATCTAAGGACTTATAAGCTATGGTCCATTACATATAGAAGAGACAAAAAAATAATAAAAGCTGATCCATGATATCAGATAAACTTCCTTTCTGTCTGGGACCTTACCTTTAAACAAGACAAGAGAAGCTGTACACAATAAGGAATTATCTCCTCTTCTGTACATAAAGTTAACAGTAGGTGGCGCCCCGAGAGAGGATCATTGGGTAAAGCATTTTTATCTGACCTTTGACCTCCAGGTAGATATGATATAACCTCCAGTAAGATCTCACAGGCTTTCTGTAACACACCATTGATAATGATAAGTCAAATTATTTCATTGTCATCCTGCAATGGCCAGAATACAAATTCTAGCTCGAAAAGAGGGGTGGACATACTACAGGACAATGAAATAGCAATTGTTTGTAATTCTACTGAAGAGCAATAAGTATGGTTGGAAATATTGACAAATTAATACAAAAAAAGTGTAGGATAAAACTGCAATATTTAAAATAATGAATATTGACAGAAAAGTTTAACAAATTTACCCGAGAATTATTTTCAATAATGATATGCTGTGCAAAATTCTACTTAAACATTTGCATCTTAAGTTACATATTGACTTTCACATAGGGCTAACAGTTTTTAGAACTAACAGTAATTAAGGGCTAACAGTACTCATGCTATCAGTATTTATGATTTCTGGTCGATATGTAACTGATCTCCGTGTTCTGACCTCTGGACTGGATTTTACTTACACTGTATTTCCCTAATGCCATGAAACAACATGCCATCTGGAGGGAACTACGAATCTGGAAAAAAACACCATGTAAATCATATAAAATAAGTTATCAGAAAGACACATACCAATTACTAAATTATCAAATAGACACATACCAATTACTGAATTATCAAATAGACACATACCAATTACTGAATTATCAAATAGACACATACCAATTACTGAATTATCAAACAGACACATACCAATTACTGAATTATCTAATAGACACATACCAATTACTGAATTATCAAATAGACACATACCAATTACTGAATTATCAAACAGACACATACCAATTACTGAATTATCTAATAGACACATACCAATTACTGAATTATCAAATAGACACATACCAATTACTGAATTATCAAAATGACACATACCAATTACTAAATTATCTAATAGACACATACCAATTACTGAATTATCTAATAGACACATACCAATTACTGAATTATCAAACAGACACATACCAATTACTAAATTATCTAATAGACACATACCAATTACTGAATTATCTAGTAGACACATACCAATTACTGAATTATCTAATAGACACATAACAATTACTGAATTATCAAACAGACACATACCAATTACTGAATCAATTACTGAATTATCAAACAGACACATACAAATTACTGAATTATCTAATAGACACATACCAATTACTGAATTATCTAATAGACACATACCAATTACTGAATCATTAAACAGACACATACCAATTACTGAATTATCTAATAGACACATACCAATTACTGAATTATCTAATAGACACAAATATCAAACAATTACTGAATTATCAAATAGACACATACCAATTAGAGAATTATCAAAATGACACATACCAATTACTAAATTATCTAATAGACACATACCAATTACTGAATTATCTAATAGACACATACCAATTACTGAATTATCAAACAGACACATACCAATTACTAAATTATCTAATAGACACATACCAATTACTGAATTATCTAGTAGACACATACCAATTACTGAATTATCAAACAGACACATACCAATTACTAAATTATCTAATAGACACATACCAATTACTGAATTATCAAACAGACACATACAAATTACTGAATTATCTAGTAGACACATACCAATTACTGAATTATCTAATAGACACATACCAATTACTGAATCATTAAACAGACACATACCAATTACTGAATTATCTAGTAGACACATACCAATTACTGAATTATCTAATAGACACATACCAATTACTGAATTATCTAATAGACACATACCAATTACTGAATCATTAAACAGACACATACCAATTACTGAATTATCTAAAACACAATTAGCAATTATTGAATTATCTAAAACATAAATACCAATTACTGAATTATCAAATAGACACATACCAATTACTGAATTATCAAACAGACACATACCAATTACTGAATCATTAAACAGACACATACCAATTACTGAATTATCTAATAGACACATACCAATTACTGAATTATATAAAATACAAATAACAATTACTAAATTATCAAATAGACACATACCAATTACTGAAGCATTAAACAGACACATACCAATTACTGAATTATCTAATAGACACATACCAATTACTGAAGCATTAAACAGACACATACCAATTACTGAATTATCTAATAGACACATACCAATTACTGAATTATCAAACAGACACATTATCAAATAGACACATACCAATTACTGAATTATCTAATAGACACATACCAATTACTGAATTATCTAATAGACACATACCAATTACTGAATTATCAAATAGACACATACCAATTACTGAATTATCTAGTAGACGCATACCAATTACTGAATTATCTAGTAGACGCATACCAATTACTTAATTATCTAATACACAAATACCAATTACTGAATTATCTAATAGACACATACCAAGTACTGAATTATCTAATACACAAATACCAATTACTGAAATACACAAATACCAATTACTGAATTATCTAATAGACACATACCAATTACTGAATTATCAAATAGAAACATACCAATTACTGAATTATCAAATAGACACATACATACTGAATTATCAAATAGACACATACCAAATACTGAATTATCTAAATAGACACATACCAATTACTGAATTATCAAATAGATACAAACCAATTGCTGAATTATCAAATAGACACATACCAATTACTGAATTATCAAATAGACACATACCAATTACTGAATTATCAAATAGACACATACCAATTACTGAATTATCTAATAGACACATACCAATTACTGAATTATCTAAAACACAAATACTAATTACTGAATTATCAAATAGACACATGCCAATTACTGAATTATCAAATAGACACATACCAATTACTGAATCATTAAACAGACACATACCAATTACTGAATCATCAAACAGACACATACCAATTACTGAATCATTAAACAGACACATACCAATTACTGAATCATTAAACAGACACATACCAATTACTGAATCATTAAACAGACACATACCAATTACTGAATCATTAAACAGACACATACCAATTACTGAATTACCTAAATCATAAACACTAATTACTGAATCATTAAACAGACACATACCAATTACTGAATCATTAAACAGACACATACCAATTACTGAATCATTAAACAGACACATACCAATTACTGAATCATTAAACAGACACATACCAATTACTGAATTATCAAACAGACACATACCAATTACTGAATCATTAAACAGACACATACCAATTACTGAATTATCAAATAGACACATACCAATTACTGAATCATTAAACAGACACATACCAATTACTGAATCATTAAACAGACACATACCAATTACAGAATCATCAAACAGACACATACCAATTACTGAATTATCTAATAGACACATACCAATTACAGAATCATCAAACAGACACATACCAATTACTGAATTATCTAATAGACACATACCAATTACTGAATCATTAAACAGACACATACCAATTACTGAATCATTAAACAGACACATACCAATTACTGAATTATCTAATAGACACATACCAATTACTGAATTATCTAATAGACACATACCAATTACTGAATTATCAAACAGACACATACCAATTACTTAATTATCTAATAGACACATACCAATTACTGAATTATCAAACAGCACATACAAATTACTGAATTATCTAATAGACACATACCAATTACTGAATTATCTAATAGACACATACCAATTACTGAATCATTAAACAGACACATACCAATTACTGAATTATCTAATAGACACATACCAATTACTGAATTATCAAAAAGACACATACCAATTACTGAATTATCTAATAGACACATACCAATTACTGAATCATTAAACAGACACATACCAATTACTGAATTATCTAAAACACAATTAGCAATTATTGAATTATCTAAAACATAAATACCAATTACTGAATTATCAAATAGATACAAACCAATTACTGAATCATTAAACAGACACATACCAATTACTGAATCATTAAACAGACACATACCAATTACTGAATTATCTAATAGACACATACCAATTACTGAATTATATAAAATACAAATAACAATTACTGAATTATCAAATAGACACATACCAATTACTGAATCATTAAACAGACACATACCAATTACTGAATTATCTAATAGACACATACCAATTACTGAAGCATTAAACAGACACATACCAATTACTGAATTATCTAATAGACACATACCAATTACTGAATTATCAAACAGACACATTATCAAATAGACACATACCAATTACTGAATTATCTAATAGACACATACCAATTACTGAATTATCTAATAGACACATACCAATTACTGAATTATCAAATAGACACATACCAATTACTGAATTATCAAACAGACACATAACAATTGCTAAATTATCTAATAGACACATACCAATTACTGAATTATCAAATAGACACCTACCAATTACTGAATTATCAAACAGACACATACCAATTACTGAATCATTAAACAGACACATACCAATTACTGAATTATCAAATAGACACATACCAATTACAGAATCATCAAACAGAGAAATACCAATTACTGAATTATCTCATACACAAATACTAATAATTAAATTATCCAAAAGACACATGCCAATTACTGAATTATCTAATAGACACATGCCAATTACTGAATTATCTAATAGACACATGCCAATTACTGAATAACCTTATACACTGAATTACCTTATAAACAAATACAAATATATGAATTATGTAATAAATATTCACAGACAGCATTGAAAAAAAGGCAGCACTGGCTGACATGTTACTATTAATGACACTTACACCCTATAGAAAATGTTATTAATGTTACAGTACAGTTAGTGGCAATGGTTCAACTAACCTTCATGCTGTCCTTAACCAATGGCGTACAGGACTGTAGGTGGGCCAAGGCATCCTGGAAAGCTCCCTAAAAATAACATGATTTTAATATACAACCTGGATACAATGGAAAGTACCCTGGTTTGGTTTCTATGATTTAAGTTTCTATCAACAGCTAGGGTCATTTAAGGACAGCTTCCTGATGGTGCGAGCATGTGTTTTAGGGATGCTGGGATACATTGGTATTAGCTTCATTATGATAGTGCAGAACTAAAGGCAACTTTATAGTGCTATCACACCGTAATATACTGCCGAGGCACCAGTTTTGTTATCGATGTCAGATAACAAATGATATAACATGGTGTTAAAACCAAATATTCTATAACATCAAAACAGAAACAATAAAATATCTCATGGTTCTAAAACAAGGGGGGAAAATCTCAATACGTAAGGCCTGGGAAAGTATATAACTGTATCCAACATGTCATTATCATCTGCTTTAAAAATAAAAAGTGACCAGGGCGGTTCAAACTTGAATTACATGAGTTATACAGATCTCCTAAAAGCCAACAGGGTCGGTTCACACATCCATCACATGACCTTTATTTAACAGGTGTGTTACAAGCTGATGGGTGGTTCACACATCCATCGAACAACCTTAATTTAACAGGTGCATTACAAGCTGATGGTTGGTTCATACATCCATCACATGACCCTAATTTAACAGGTGCGTTACAAGCTGACAGAGATGGTTCATGCATCTGTCACATGACTCAAGATTAACAGGTGCTTGTTAACTGTTAATAGTCAACAGGAGTTGATCATTCATCCATCACGTGACCAAAGTTTAACAGGTGAACAGAGGTTCAGTACAAGTTCACACACATCACATGATATAAGCTTAACAGATGTCTATAACATTCCAACAGGGGTGGTTTATTCAACTGTTACATGACCAAAGTTTTACATTGCCAGCTTACAGTAAAACATTGAAAATGGTTTACTTTAATACTTCAACTGAAGAAACATATTATACTGAAGTACAACCCATACCTGGTACATCAACATATCTGTCTGGAAATGGGCCATCCATGTCCAAGTCTCCATCCTCCATACTTCACACAGCCCAACAAACTCTGTAACAAACAGTTCATCTTCGACCTTGATATTTTTATGCTAATGCAATTTTTTAAGGGTGTGTGGAGGAGGGGGACATAATTACAGTGTTGTCCATCTGAAATATCATAACTTGAGAACCTCTCATGGGTTTTGGTTCATCTTCACCTCAAAGTATCATATCACCATGTACCTCTTAATCACCTAATCATATTAACATGGTCTTTGCTAAGGGTAACAAGGGTAAAAGTTCACATTTGACAAAATAATCAAATTCACCCAATTACATTATAGATTTATGTATGGAAGCAGGAACATTCATGAATTACAGACAATTTTCAGTTCTACTATTTTTTCTTCTATAATCATACCAGTATAAGGTGAGATTTACAATGCAAATACATCAAAAATGGGGGACACTTTTTATATTGATAAATGTGATTAATCCTTATATGGAGTAAACCATGTGATTAGACAGGTATTGTCCAACACTTGCACTTCTTATTAAAGTATTGATTTGAATATTTAGAGATATTCAGGACCAGGCCAAGTGAACATTACCTCTTTGAAGTTCCTGTTTGGAGTGCAGCAGTTCATAACATTTAAATGCTGTCAGAAAGCTTTCGATAATTTTCTGTGAGTCTGGTACTCCAGATGTTGCAACTATATGTGTTGCTGATCCACTTGTTTTGGACTTCTTCGCTTTGGAGCTGTGACAAAACATAATGATGACATTCTAGGTAAAACAGTACGCAAAGGATTTAAAAAATAACTCAGGTCTGTACATGTTTCCGTTTTCTGACTACTAAGTATTACTTTTCTTAAGTTTTCAATTAATTTGAATGGATGGTAACCCTAAACAAAACCTGGGGTGCGAGAAATCTTAATGTTTCATTGGAATATCCCTTAATAAATCCTGGACTCCTTGGGCAGGATAAAAGTTTTACTGGAATAGCCCAAAACAAAACCTGGAGTCCTTGATTAAGTAGATGATTTACTGGAACAGCTATAAACAAACCCTAGAGTCCTGGGGAGGGATAAATGTTTTACTGGAATAGTCCTAAACATAACCTGGAGTCCTGGGGTAGGATAGATGTTTTACTGGAATAGTCCTAAACATAACCTGGTGTCCTGGGGTAGGATAGATGTTTTACTGGAATAGTCCTAAACATAACCTGGAGTCTTCGGGACGGATAGATGTTTTACTGTAACAGCTATAAACAAACCCTAGAGTCCTGTGGTGGAATAGATGTTTTACTGTAACAGCTATAAACAAACCCTAGAGTCCTGTGGTGGAATAGATGTTTTACTGTAACAGCTATAAACAAACCCTAGAGTCCTGGGGTGGAATAGATGTTTTACTGTAACAGCTATAAACAAACCCTAGAGTCCTGGGGTGGAATAGATGTTTTACTGTAACAGCTATAAACAAACCCTAGAGTCCTGGGGTGGAATAGATGTTTTACTGTAATAGCTCTAAACAAAACCTGAAGCCTTGGGGAGGGATAGATATTTTACTGGAATAGCCCCCTATTTTTGTGAGGATTTTTTTTCCATACAAGATCGATGAAATCAGTTAAAGGATTTCTGATGTGTTACAGAGTCTCTGTTTAAAGTGGCATTACAATGGTAAAAGAGTAACACTGTTCTGTATGTTTGACACACCTTGTGTCATAGACAGATAAGTCACAGATCTACAGGATTTGCTGAGAAATTATAATAGCAAGCTTTACTTTACTAGATTATAAATACACATTAAAGGGAGAGCAAATTGTGTTCTAGGATCTAATAACAAACCAGGTTTGGTTGCCATGGTATCTACAGTATGAAACATACATTATTTTAGTGAAAATATTATTTTAGCATTTTTCATGCAGGTCAGGTCAATGCTCCAAAATATGACTCCACTTACTACAATTCTGAATGTTGTTTACGTAGCAATGGTTAGAAAGAACAAATTCATCAGTTCTCCAATTTGACAAAGCATGATAAATGGCACTATGATTTGACTGCACAATAAAAAGAAATTTCAAGTAATCTTAGTTATACATCAGCCTCGATGTAAATGCCACAAGAGAGGTTTTGTATCTGCCACACCTTTACTGTTTTTCTATACAAAAATGTTTACTTGCAGATCATGTTTACTTATGTATCATGTTTACTTACGTATCATGTTTACTTACAGATCATGTTTACATACAGATCCTGTTTACTTATGTATCATGTTTACTTACAGATCATGTTTACTTATAGATCATGTTTACATACAGATCATGTTTACTTACAGATCATGTTAACTTACGTATCATGTTTACTTACAGATCATGTTTACTTACGTATCATGTTTACTTACAGATCATGTTTACTTACAGATCATGTTTACATACAGATCATGTTTACTTACGTATCATGTTTACTTACAGATCATGTTTACTTACGTATCATGTTTACATACAGATCATGTTTACTTACAGATCATGTTAACTTACAGATCATGTTTACTTCTGTATTATGTTTACTTACAGATCATGTTAACTTACAGATCATGTTTACTTACAGATCATGTTTACTTACAGATCACGTTTACTTACAGATCATGTTTACTTACAGATAATGTTTACTTCTGTATTATGTTTACTTACAGATCATGTTTACTTCTGTATTATGTTTACTTACAGATCATGTTTACTTACAGATCATGTTTACTTACAGATCATGTTTACTTACAGTATCATGTTTACTTACAGATCATGTTTACTTATGTTTACTTATAGATCCTGTTTACTTACAGATTATGTTTACTTACAGATCATGTTTACTTACAGATCCTGTTTACTTACAGATCATGTTTACTTATGTATTATGTTTACTTATAGATCATGTTTACTTACAGATCCTGTTTACTTACAGATCATGTTTACTTACAGATCATGTTAACTTACAGATCATGTTTACTTACAGATCATGTTAACTTATGTATTATGTTTACTTACAGATCATGTTTACTTACAGATCATGTTTACTTATAGATCCTGTTTACTTACAGATCATGTTTACTTACAGATCATGTTTACTTACAGATCCTGTTTACTTACAGATCATGTTTACTTATGTATTATGTTTACTTACAGATCATGTTTACTTATGTATTATGTTTACTTACAGATCATGTTTACATACAGATCATGTTTACTTACAGATCCTGTTTACTTACAGATCATGTTTACTTACAGATCATGTTTACTTACAGATCATGTTTACTTACAGATCATGTTTACTTACAGATCATGTTTACTTACAGATCATGTTTACTTATGTATTATGTTTACTTACAGATCATGTTTACTTACAGATCATGTTTACTTACAGATCATGTTTACTTACAGATCATGTTTACTTACAGATCATGTTTACTTACAGATAATGTTTACTTACAGATCATGTTTACTTACAGATCATGTTTACTTACAGATCCTGTTTACTTACAGATCATGTTTACTTACAGATCATGTTTACTTACAGATCATGTTTACTTACAGATCATGTTTACTTACAGATCATGTTTACTTATAGATCATGTTTACATACAGATCATGTTTACTTACAGATCACGTTTACTTACAGATAATGTTTACTTACAGATCATGTTTACTTACAGATCATGTTTATGTATGGATTATGTTTACTTACAAATTATGTTTACTTACGGAGAAGGGTTGTCTAATAAGTCATTGCTGAATCCTTCTATAAGGACCAGAGGTCCATGAACAGTGGCTCCACCTGTAATAAATCTTTATATAAGAATCATGACTAAACAGTAAAACACATGCAGTTTACAGGAACATTTGATCAATGTGACTTACCTGAAAGGTTTAAGATAATTCATGAACAAACCCTAGAGTCCTGGGGAGGGATAAATGTTTTACTGGAACAGCTTACAGTAGATGGCATTGTCACTTTATTTGAGCAAAGAGCACAAAAAGCACTTTGAAATAACAGCTTGTACTCCAAAATCAAGCTTGTCCAACATACCTACAAAAGCGTCGGGATCGACACTGCTGACGTAGGTGTATAAACACTCGAGGAAGAGCACAGTGGTGACATACACAATCTGTTTGGTGTAGGGACTGCCCTGGATCTGTTTAGCTCTGTTGTAGACATTAAACACATACTGCCACTGTTGATCCCTGTAACAAATATCAGGCCTACAGTGATTTCTGGAGAACTGTTTGGTTGGTTTATCATACTGTGAAAAGTCAGAGTCATTATGAGGAGGAGTCTCCTTGCAGAGGCTACCTCAAAGAACAACATATAGGATGCTGGCTGAATGATATCCAGGACAATGTGGGTAAAATTATATTGATTTGGTTTGTTGTTGCTGAAGTCCTATTAACAACCAGGGTTATTTCAGGATGTACCATGATTGGGTGGTGGAGGAAAGACAGAGTTCTCTGAGGAAAACCACCAACCTGCAACTAGTACTTGGTGGCTGCCCCACACAGGCCTAAAATCAGTCACCCAGATGTAGAAGGCTAGTGATAAAGACAGTCAGGTGCCTTAACCCCTTGACCTCCAAGGCCACAGGTAAATTTACTGCCTCAGGAGACAACTACATCGGCAGAGAGTCAGAAATCTATTTCTCAACTTCCTGGGAAACACAAATTGCTTTTGGTAGGGAGAATTAAACCACAATCTTTACCGGAGGTTATGTAGGTCATCAGATATTTACCTGAGGTTATGTAGGTCATCAGATCTTTACCAGAGGTTATGTAGGTCATCAGATCTTTACCTGAAGTTATGTAGGTCATCAGATATTTACCTGAGGTTATGTAGGTCATCAGATCTTTACCGGAGGTTATGTAGGTCATCAGATCTTTACCTGAAGTTATGTAAGTCATCACATCTTTACCTGAAGTTATGTAGTCTAGATTTTGACTAAACTTACCTAGTCTGTGTGAAAAGGTGCGAGTCTAACTCCCAGTCCAGATTTTGACTAAACGTACCTAGTCTGTGTGAAAAGGTCCGAGTCTATCTCCCAGTCTAGATTTTGACTAAACTTACCTAGTCTGTGTGAAAAGGTTTGAAGTCTATCTCCCAGTCTAGATTTTGACTAAACTTACCTAGTCTGTGTGAAAAGGTCCGAGTCTATCTCCCAGTCTAGATGTTGACCAATCAGGACTAGAAGTTTCAGTAGACTTCCCCAGGGATCAATGACTTGACTCTCACGGTCGTAGAGTCCAGGAATCAACACAAATCGCTTGCCTTTCTTTGTGGGGGAAACCTGATCTAAACAGACAAAAAATTAACTGTGATTTAGCTTGGCAGGGGAGGTTTGCTTGATATAAATATAAAAGTATTTTCTGACTGTGTTATTGTTATCGACATAGTCTCAAGTGCCAGAAGATCTCCCAGAGAAGCATTAATGAATGAAAATCATACAGTATTGAGTACAACCTTCATTACCATTAGTTTTAACAGCAAGGACTGATGAGAGCATCATGACATCACAACACAAAAATTATTATTACAGTCTCATCACAACACTGGTTGTCTAGTAGTGTTGTAATAGGTGAAAAGCAAATGTGGAGACAGCTGTTGGGTTGATATTGGGGTAACAGATCAGATGCATTTGAGAATATATAATTTTATCACCTGGTGATGGAGGCTGGCTAGAAGGTAGACATGGAGCCTGTGTTATAAACATCACATAGAACTCAATAGCCTGCTGTAGCCATTTATACAGCTGTCTCTGAGGGACGTCCATCTTTTTGACCTTCTGCAGGACCAATGGTAGCACATCACATACTGAAATCCCGAACAGATTGTGAGATATAACAAAACACCAAACATTGTACTTGAATGCAACACAGTATACCAAAAAATTATCAAGTATTTCTAAATTAAGATAAAACTTCATCTACTAAAAGATTAATTGTTTAGTTCAACAAAAGAAGTTGTTTAAACCAACATTACCTAATTACACCTATTTGCACTGACTCCAGCCCTAAGAAAGATCAGTCCCTCTACCTGTTCATATCATTTCTGTTTCAAGCTTGAGAATAGAAGTGACAACACTCCATTCTACATAGCCAATTAACAACCATCCACTCAGCTTGGCAGCTGAACAACCCTCCACTCTGCTTAGCAGCTTAAAAACCCTCCACTCCATTCACCAGCTTAACAACCGTCCCCTCTGCTCAGCAGCTTAACAGCCCTCCACTCTAACTAGCAGTTTAACAACCCTCCACTCTAATTAGCAGTTTAACAACCCTCCACTCGGCTTAGCAGCTTAAAAACCATCCACTCTACTTAGCATTATGTTGTAATGCAATAAATCTGTGAAAATAATTACTCACTGAAAAGCTTTCTATAACAGTTCACAGCAGTTGCATACCCAGCCTTCTTCTCCGCTCGCTGTAACTTCTCAATCAGTGTTAACTGTACAACAGATACAAATTTTTAATATAAACAGCCTTATCATCTCTACATCTATATCATATTGTATTTCTGATATAATGACAATTACTGTAAAAACAACATTTTTCATGGCCAGTTTATTTTTGTTGATTTTTTGTGGGAACTTTTCATACATGAATTCTTAAGTCAATAAACTTTTAAAATTCATTTATTGATCTACATCCATCTACAAAAAGAAAACAACAAAAAAAGTATTTTTTTTTTTTTAGTTATTGAATAGAATGACAAAACAAAATGTTATTTCATTGTCTTATGACCCTTCTCCTGACTCTCATAACTAGTATGTTGGCCCCTTGCACATTTCCCCAAGCTTTAAGAGCCCTAGCTCCCTTTGAGTTTTGTTCATACTAATATTTTGATATTCCCATGCCTGTTTATAAGCTTGCCTATGAGAACTAAATATACTAATACATTAAGGTAAGAGCGTACCCCATGTTCATCCACTAGACTAGCAAACTTCCTCATAGCCAGAAGTAATAGGCGACACTGCTCCAGGGTGTCACTCATCTTGTCTGCCACGTGTAATAACATCTCACACTGAGAATGTGTGGAAATGGCTGCAAAGATTTCTGTAAATAGGCAACAAAACACAAAACAAATTATCCTTTGGATGTCTATAAACTTATAAAACATTTTTGACATACCTGTTTCTGTTTTTTTATGTACCGTATTTTACCGCAAATAAGCCCCCCACCCAGTTCAAAAAGACTTGTCAAAAGAGGGGAGGGGGCTTATTTGCGGGCAATCCCCCTGTTCACGAGAAGTATGTGTGTCCGTCATCTTAGATTTTTGGAGGTAATTTATTCTGAAAGAGGATGTCTTTACCAAAAGCATAAATAAAAGATGGTCCAGCCATTCTTACTACTGTACATACTATGGTCATTCTAATGGTTAAAACTCCATGTCACAGTTGTCATATTACTGTATATACCAGGTTAAGATATCTATTCTGACCAACAAATTTCACTTTTGTCTGCTAGATTCATAGAAACGAAATGCCATACAAATATTCCAACATACCCATATTAGATATTTGTTTTCTATTATTAAATATAAAATATCATTTAAAATATGGTCTATGTTATATTTGCTTCCTAATTCATTTTGACCTACTTTCAAGAACAAGAATGTGAACGTTTGACATCTTACTCCTGTTTTGCTCAAAATCAACAAACACATCTATATCATTCAAAAGGCAACAGTACGTTATCTTATACCTGTCAGAAAACTGTTGCGGTTATCTGAAGTTTCTGACTGAAGCACGCCCAGAATGGCTTGAACTTCTGCCCACAGACGACTTTCTCCAGGAAATGCCACAAACCTGAGGACAAAACAAAACCTCAAATCTTTACATCAGTGTCACAGTTACATAAGATTAACATGGACTATTTAATTACAGATGTTTAAAAGTTCCTCTTGTCAGTGAAACTTGTTATCATGTTTTACTTCATATTCATAATATTAAGAAAAAAAGACAGAACCATTGATGGAATTAATGAACAACAATCAATATTTACAGCCATTTATGATAATGCAAACTTAAATACTTAGAAAACCTTCCCAAAGGAAATCAAATTTTTTTTGAAAAAAAAAATACAAAAATTACGTTATCATCTCCGTATTGGATACCAATTTATAAACATGGCTGAAATTTGTTCCCTGTGAACTTGCCCAACCCAAGACAACTGCGAAATACTTGTCCTGTGAAATTAAATAATAACAACAGTAATTGGCAGGCTTACTATCGACCATAAGCTAGATTCGTCAGATTGAGGAGGTGAATTAACAATAAATATAAACTTGATCAATTTTACAACATTTGTCAAACAAGTTATTTCAATTCATATTAATCAGACTTGTTGGCCTGGATGTAAGTGCACAAAGGGTCTTATTGCAGGAGGAAACTGGAGTACCCAGGGAAAACCCACATGTTTGGACATGTGAACACTTAGCTTTTCACGTCCGTTCTGGGAATTGAACCCCAAACAGTTAGGTAAAAGGTGAGTGTGTTATCACTGCACCACCCAACCATCACAGGAGAGACACCCCAGTTATACAAAATTGAGTCCCTTTCTCCCAAGGATGCTTCTGACCACTGGTATGTATGGTAAAAGTGCAAAATAATCTTAATACAACTTTTACATTATTTTAAAGGTAATAAATTAACTTACATTTCTTCCAATAACTTGGCAGCTTCTTTGATATTTTTACCGACCTTTTCCAGATTATATGCCTCAAACTGAAATTAAAAAACACAGCACTAAAACCTAATACTATAATAATATCGTACAAATTCAGATGGCATGTCTGATCAAGATGTTCCCGAGATCTGTGGCATGTTGTATATATAGCCATCGACAAAACAGAACATATCAACTCAGTAATGATCATGTACAAATAAACCTGGCAAATTAAACTGACCAGTAAAACATCAGCTCCAGTATTAAAATACAATGATACATATTTCGCAACTGCACCAGTAAGTAGGGACATAGTAACCTTTATTGAGACAGGAAACAGAGAAGCAACGACTAATAGCATGGCACGGATACCGGGTAGCGGGATCCGGAAGAAATGTCACAGGGCCATCACTGGCGCAGGATTTTCTTGAAAATATCCACAGACACAACTTATACATACCTGGATGAACGATCATTCTGTTTACTATATAAAGCGTTAGTAAGACTGCACTTGGAGTATGGAGCTAGTATTTGGCACCCGCATCATACACAGGATATTAACTTATTAGAGAATGTACAAAGAAGAGCAATGAAACTTTTATCAGGAATGAAAGAATTAACATATGTTGAGAGAATGATAAGACTAAAATTACCATCATTAAAGTACAGACGGACCGTGGGGACATGATTGAGGTTTTCAAGATCTTATGAGGATTGTATTACAACGAAGGATCTGCAAATTTAATCAGCAGAGTTCAGAACAAAATAACAAGAGGCAATTCTTACAGCCTGGAAAAATTTGGATCACGTCTGGATCTCAGGAAGTTTTCTTTCTCTCAAAGGGTGGTAAATGATTGGAACTCTCTACCAGATTATATAGTACAGGCGCCAACTTTAAACTCATTTGAAAACATGCTTGATAAATATTAGAAAAGTGTGGATAGAACATATAACATCTTTATTTAAACCAGAAGTGACAACATTAAACTAATGAATTGTGACAAGGTTTCGGACCTGAAATAGAGGCATAAGGCCTGCGTTCAGTAACTACTAATGTATAACTTTTTTAAAAAGTCAACGTCAGATATTGATGTCATAGGTCCTTGGAAAACTTCGACAACTATCACACACAATAAATATGTACTGTGTCGAGTTGTTTTACAGTCACGATTGATGGAAGACAACATGTTAACACTGATTAATTCGTTTTTACCTGAATTGAAAAGTTTTGCGGGAACAACGTTCTTGCTGTAATCATCCATGCTTTAGCTGCGAATGGGTCTGTTTTCATGCATGATCGTGCACGGGAAACGAGCCAGTCTTCGTCAGAAAGTTTCTGACATACAGCTGCCATATTAAAGCTAGGATCTAATACCGAGGAAAAATATCGACATTAAATTTTCTTTCACGACTGTTCAATCGGTTCAGTTCTTTGCAAGAACTCTTCAGTGAAGAAAAATAAACTTTCCATAGCGGAAGTAAGTATTAGATTGTAATTTTAAAAATGAGCGTTGAGGAATTTCCGGATACTTGTATCAACATAACCTATTTTCATAAGAAAGCTTTAACATACATTACTTTTATTTTCTTTCTGAGCATATACATGTGTTAAGGAAATATTACAATTACATAGTTACTTTAGATATTTGCATCTTTGTGTAACCAAATATTTTAAATATCCGGATATGTCCAAACTCCATATTTAGTTTGCGATTTAGTCTGTACCAACCGGCAAGGTGCTTGAGCTGAAAATCGATTGTTTTCACATAAATGATTGGTATTAGTACAGTTTTTGGACGGCAGATATTGTATCGCAGCACTGCACTTACATCAAGATATTTTGCTAAAATGGTAACACTCTGCGTTTAAAGAATGTTAAATCTGCATAACAGCGAAATATGCGCCGAAATGCTTGCAGTTATCCATGTAGTTAGGATGTTAACCTACCGTCCAAAACACACGTGTTCACATAATTGATTGCTTTGTTAATTAAGTTATGTCAGGTACATTTCTGACTTCTGTACGATAAAACACCACGATCATTGACACATTCTAATTACCAGTGCTATCTATATGCAAATCTTTGTTGTCTACATATGTATTTTGTCACAAGCAGACTGCAAAATCTCACTTAAAACCAGTATTACGACCACTTCGTAATCAACACTGTTTCATTTTAGCATGACATTTCTCTATGTAGCTTAAAATCGTAAGGATCCTGCCAATAACAATTTTTATGACAGATGCATATTTTCTAAAATGCTAAAAATAACAACCCAAGTAGCGGTCTTAAAAAAACAAATTCATGTTTTTTTTCTGAAAGTAAGCATCTGTATTTTACAAAATTGTTTATTCTCCAATAATTTACCATGTTAAGTTAGAAAAAAGTCACCTTTGCCAAGTGTAGGATTTCACTGTTTTACTTTGGATCTGTTCCTAAAAATGTCTGGTTTAGGAGCCAAAAGAAACCTGTTTTGTTTTACATGTTGCTGTCACAGTCAATAGTAGATTATAATTTCATTAATCATTTTTTTATGTTTTCAGGCCTCCGAAGCTAAAAGAGCAAAGTTGTCTGATGCAGAGAGACAAGATTTGTTATCTCCCTTGAAGGCTGCTGGGTGGAACGAGGTAGAAGGACGAGATGCGATCTATAAGGAATTTTTATTTAAAGACTTCAATGAGGTAATCATATCCTTAATGAGTTTGAATCGATCAGCAGAATTTCAGTTAACACAGTTTGTAAAATTTGTCTTGTTGCGATAATTGTTGTTGTCTTTGTATAAACTTGTTGTCCTCTCATTGTAGGCATTTGGGTTTATGACAAGAGTAGCACTTCTAGCTGACAAGATGGACCATCATCCAGAGTGGTTCAATGTTTATAACAAGGTGAGCTAAAAGTTACAAAAGCTGTGGTTTTCTTCTGTTATTCCAAGGTTTCTTCTGTGGATTGAACTAGAAATCAGAGATTTTGTCTTCTGTGGGAACTAGATGTCAGTATATAAAAAGTTTGTCTCAGCCAGGCACCTTTGCACTGAATTCATTATGTATGCAAGGGGTGAATTTATCTCAATACCTGCTATCACCTCAGGCATGAGGCTCATGTCACAGATAAATGGGGCCGTGGGGCAGATGGCGGTGCTCAGGTAGTTGTCTGTCTGCACCCTCAGGCAGTCACTATACATACCAAACATTATTCTGTGATTACAATTAGGGACCATCACTTTAAAAACAAACACTGTTTATAGCTGTCATCAATTTACTTACATCAGGGTGATCTCTGGTTTACTAAAATTGGTTAGTAACCTCACCCAGTGGGAATTTCCATTTAATCAAGCAGAAGAGTGTCTGACTAGAGACTGAAAGTTCGCTATTTCATATCTTAGATGGAGCAAGGTGTTTTTCATTAGTTCTTTTTAGTTCAAATTTGATGCTGTTGACCAATCCAAGGGTATAGACTACAGGAGAATACACAAATGCTTACTGCAATATTTGGAGACATTTAACTTGAGTGGTGTTGTTACTAGCCTAGGCTAGTGGAAAATTCCCTCTAGTCAAGCAGTACAGTGTCCTACTAAAGACCAAAAAGTCACTATTTTAAACTGCATTGGGGCTGGGTGTTTCTCATTACTCCTTCATTTTAAATATATACCAGGCCTACAATAAAATGACATTGTACATCTAAAAAAAATCACCAAGATTATATCCACAAGTAACAAATGTATTTGTTGATTGTTATCTTCCAGGTCCAAGTAACCCTAAGCACTCATGATGTTGGAGGTCTGTCAACACGGGACGTCAAACTGGCCAGTTTCATGGAGACGGCTGTGGGCAAATAGATGTGACAGATTTTGTCAGACGACAGTGGGCTGGAACACCTCAGGAAATGATCATGATGCTGTGTTATTAATTAACTGATGAATAATTGTCTAAACTGAAAAATCATTTAAGTCAGAAAAATTCCTACTCATAGATGTCCGTAGAATTTTGAACTTCAGTTCATATTTTGTCTCCCAAATACCAAAGAACTTATTTAGAAATAAAAGCACAGCTTTCAATGATTCATTTAACAACATTCCTAAATATTTTTCCTAACTGAACTTCCCAAATATTAAAACTAAATTCATTAGAAAGTCTGATTGAGATGTAACTTTGATGGGGATATTAAAATGATCTTATTCACAGGCCTACTCCGGGCTGTAGGAAGAATGGGGGCACGCCACAGTGTCCGAAATCTACTCAGGGCTGTAGTTGATCCACAAAGTCCCGACAGTCCTCTCAAGGAGAGCCAAAAGTCTTAAGTTTATAGGGTTGTGTGGAGGTTGGAATGAGCGGGTCTGGTCTGTCTACCTGCTCACATTGCAATGTCTATCCCTGTAGACTTTAGTATATTGTAGCATTTTCCATCACCTGAAATCATATTTTTCTAGCTGGTCAATATCTACCTGTCTATCTCTGTGAACAACAGATTTTTACATCATATCAACTCCTGTTACTTTACCTAGTGTTAGACAACATGGCATTTCAATCATGGATGTTACAACTTTTTTTTTCCAGCCATCATGTTTTACGGTCTGAGGCAACTGGCCCACAATTTTCCCCCTGCCTTCTGTATCACTATTGTGACATACAATGCTCTGTACATTCCAATAATTATGAAAAATGATTTAAGGTATTAGGAATGGGTCATGTTTAACCAACATTTGTGTGTTTGTAAATCTGTAGAAAGTAGGTGTGTGAACAGTGTATGTTCTCATATTTTTTTTTGTTACTAATCAGAGTTGTTTGTTACGATTTTAGGATATTGGTGAACCCTTTATATACTCTCTGCTGTACCTTTGTTGAGCTTATTTTTTACCTCTGTTTATGTGTTCGGAATCTGCACTGAGAAGACCACTGGTGATCACTTTAAAACATAAACAGTTAACCCTGATAAGGTTACCTAAACTGTATTTAAAAAATCTGACACAATTAATTTCTTATTAACTCTGGATAAAATATTTATCGGTGAAACTTTGACCTAGGAATGTATGTAACAGAGGTCATTATCTATTTCTCTGCTAGGCTTTGAACCTGGGACCTCTGGCTCACTAGTCTTACAATCAACTGATTGAGCTTAAGAGAATTTCTCTCTAGCCGAGCAGTAACAGTGTATCATGACTAGTACCAGGATCATCTTATATTTGTGTACAACTTGTTTTTTTAATCAATTATGAATATTTCTACAAATTTTTTTGCGATAATTACAGATGGTGATAAAAAAAAAATCACATTATTTATGTAATTGCCATTGTATAATTATACTTCGAGTTATGTTGAAACATCATTTCAACATGTATTTAAATTATGAAATTATTATACTGTGCCAAAATGCTGTCATCACAGCAGGTACTGCCAGACAAGTGCTGCCTTAACATCATTTTATAAATTTTTTTTTTAATTTCTTGTGTGAAAACTAGTCCTATTGTTTGTAGATATTTTTATACAGTATAACAAAGTTAGTAGTATTAATGATAGTGAAGTCTAAAATTTGTATTATTGTGATTAAGGATATGATCCAACATAGAAGCAGTTAAAATGATAGGGACTGGGAAAAAAGACAGTCTCCAGAAAACTTCATTTCTGAAACTGGATACTGAGGTATGAGAAATTTTTCAGTTTTAAAACCCAATAATTAGATACTTCATCAGTAATTTATGCTTAATATATCTTCCACTGGTATTGCATGAAAACCTTTATATAAATATCTTTTCATGAATAAAGTTTTTGTATCAGTCAGTCAGCACCGTTGTGGGCATTAAAACTTTTCACAAAGAATCATTCCCATTTAATGAACAAATATTTTTTTTTCAGTACAAGTACTTGAAAAAATTATTACAAAGGATTCTTCACATGAGGACAAGAGTACTTTTTGTATTAGATCCTTCATTAAGATGTATTTTGCGACTGCTGTCTTTTTGGGAAGCATTTATATATAATCACAGTATTACATATACCAAATGTGTTGTGAAATAAACTGAGATATCAATATTTCTTGTTCGCCTTTTTCTTCAAAAAAAAAAAACATGCTGATAAGATCATATACAATTCTTCAAAGTTTTTGATTTGCTGTCTTTCCATGTTAATAACCATGAGGTGGATGACATACAAATGTTATTGGTGTAAGGGTTAAGCTCTGTGAATGACGACTCAGTTTTAAGACAGACCCAAAGGTCCAAGCTCTGTGAATGGCGATTCAGTTTTAAGACAGACCCAAAGGTTCAAGGTCTATGAATGATAACTCAGTTTTAAGACAGACCCAGTAAGACCGACCAAAAGGTTCAAGCTCTATGAATGACAACTCAGTTTTAAGACAGACCCAGTAAGACCGACCAAAAGGTTCAAGCTCTGTGAATGACAACTCAGTTTTAAGACAGACCCAAAGGTTCAAGCTCTATGAATGACAACTCAGTTTCAAGACAGACCCAAAGGTTCAAGCACTGTGAATGAAGACTCGGTTTTAAGACAGACCCAAAGGTCCAAGCTCTGTGAATGATGATTCAATTTTAAGACAGACCCAAAGGTCCAAGCTCTGTAAATGAATACTCAGTTTTAAGACCGACCCAAAAGTCCAAGCTCTGTAAATGAATACTCAGTTTTAAGACAGACCCAAAAGTCCAAGCTCTGTGAATGATGATTCAATTTTAAGACAGACCCAAAGGACCAAGCTCTGTGAATGATGATTCAATTTTAAGACAGACCCAAAGGTCCAAGCTCTGTAAATGAATACTCAGTTTTAAGACAGACCCAAAAGTCCAAGCTCTGTGAATGATGATTCAATTTTAAGACAGACCCAAAAGTCCAAGCTCTGTGAATGATGATTCAATTTTAAGACAGACCCAAAGGTCCAAGCTCTGTAAATGAATACTCAGTTTTAAGACAGACCCAGTAAGACAGACCCAAAAGTCCAAGCTCTGTGAATGATGATTCAATTTTAAGACAGACCCAAAGGTCCAAGCTCTGTGAATGATGATTCAATTTTAAGACAGACCCAAAGGTCCAAGCTCTGTGAATGACGATTCAGTTTTAAGACAGACCCAAAGGACCAAGCTCTGTGAATGATGATTCAATTTTAAGACAGACCAAAAGGTCCAAGCTATGTGAATGATGATTCAGTTTCAAGACAGACCCAAAGGTTCAAGCACTGTGAATGAAGACTCGGTTTTAAGACAGACCCAGTAAGACAGACCCAAAGGTCCAAGCTCTGTGAATGATGATTCAATTTTAAGACAGACCCAAAGGTCCAAGCTCTGTAAATGAATACTCAGTTTTAAGACAGACCCAAAGGTCCAAGCTCTGTGAATGATGATTCAATTTTAAGACAGACCCAAAGGTCCAAGCTCTGTGAATGATGATTCAATTTTAAGACAGACCCAAAGGTCCAAGCTCTGTAAATGAATACTCAGTTTTAAGACAGACCCAAAAGTCCAAGCTCTGTGAATGATGATTCAATTTTAAGACAGACCCAAAGGTCCAAGCTCTGTGAATGATGATTCAGTTTTAAGACAGACCCAAAGGTCCAAGCTCTGTGAATGAAGACTCAATTTTAAGACAGACCCAAAGGACCAAGCTCTGTGAATGATGATTCAATTTTAAGACAGACCCAAAGGTCCAAGCTCTGTGAATGACGATTCAGTTTTAAGACAGACCCAAAGGTCCAAGCTCTGTGAATGAAGACAGACCCAAAGGTCCAAGCTCAATGATTTTAAGACAGACCCAAAGGTCCAAGCTCTGTGAATGAATACTCAGTTTTAAATGATGATTCAATTTTAAGACAGACCCAAAGGTTTCTGTAAATGAATACTCAGTTTTAAGACAGACCCAAAAGTCCAAGCTCTGTGAATGATGATTCAATTTTAAGACAGACCCAAAGGTCCAAGCTCTTTGAATGATGATTCAGTTTTAAGACAGACCCAAAGGTCCAAGCTTTGTGAATGATGATTCAATTTTAAGACAGACCCAAAGGTCCAAGCTCTGTAAATGAATACTCAGTTTTAAGACAGACCCAGTAAGACAGACCCAAAAGTCCAAGCTCTGTGAATGATGATTCAATTTTAAGACAGACCCAAAGGTCCAAGCTCTGTGAATGATGATTAAAATTTTAAGACAGACCCAAAGGACCAAGCTCTGTGAATGATGATTCAATTTTAAGACAGACCCAAAGGTCCAAGCTCTGTGAATGATGATTCAATTTTAAGACAGACCCAAAGGTCCAAGCTCTGTGAATGATGATTCAATTTTAAGACAGACCCAAAGGTCCAAGCTCTGTAAATGAATACTCAGTTTTAAGACAGACCCAGTAAGACAGACCCAAAAGTCCAAGCTCTGTGAATGATGATTCAGTTTTAAGACAGACCCAAAAGTCCAAGCTCTGTGAATGATGATTAAAATTTTAAGACAGACCCAAAGGACCAAGCTCTGTGAATGATGATTCAATTTTAAGACAGACCAAAAGGTCCAAGCTATGTGAATGATGATTCAGTTTCAAGACAGACCCAAAGGTTTGTGAATGACAGACCCAAAGGTCCAAACTCTGTGAATGAAGACTCAGTTTTAAGACAGACCCAAAGGTCCAAGCTCTGTGAATGATGATTCAATTTTAAGACAGACCCAAAGGTCCAAGCTTTGTGAATGATGATTCAATTTTAAGACAGACCCAAAGGTCCAAGCTCTCTGAATAAAGACTCAGTTTTAAGACAGACCAAGTAAGACAGACCCAAAGGTCCAAGCTCTGTGAATGATGATTCAATTTTAAGACAGACCCAAAGGTCCAAGCTCTTTGAATGATGATTCAGTTTTAAGACAGACCCAAAGGTCCAAGCTTTGTGAATGATGATTCAATTTTAAGACAGACCAAGTAAGACAGACCCAAAGGTCCAAGCTCTGTGAATGATGATTCAATTTTAAGACAGACCCAAAGGTCCAAGCTCTGTGAATGACGATTCAGTTTTAAGACAGACCAAGTAAAACAGACCCAAAGGTTCAAGCTCTGTGAATGATGATTCAGTTTTAAGACAGACCCAAAGGTCCAAGCTCTGTGAATGAAGACTCAGTTTTAAGACAGACCCAAAGGTCCAAGCTTTGTGAATGATGATTCAATTTTAAGACAGACCCAAAGGTCCACCTGTGAAGCTCTGTGAATGATGATTCAATTTTAAGACAGACCCAAAGGTCCAAGCTCTGTGAATGACGATTCAGTTTTAAGACAGACCAAGTAAAACAGACCCAAAGGTTCAAGCTCTGTGAATGATGATTCAATTTTAAGACAGACCCAAAGGTCCAAGCTCTGTGAATGACGATTCAGTTTTAAGACAGACCCAAAGGTCCAAGCTCTGTGAATGAAGACTCAGTTTTAAGACAGACCCAAAGGTCCAAGCTTTGTGAATGATGATTCAATTTTAAGACAGACCCAAAGGTCCAAGCTCTGTAAATGATGATTCAATTTTAAGACAGACCCAAAGGTCCAAGCTCTGTGAATGATGATTCAAAGACTCAGACCCAAAGGTCCAAGCTCTGTGAATGAATATTCAATTTTAGTTTGTGAATGACAGAAGACAGACCCAAAGGTCCAAGCTCTGTAAATGAATACTCAGTTTTAAGACAGACCCAAAAGTCCAAGCTCTGTGAATGATGATTCAATTTTAAGACAGACCCAAAGGTCCAAGCTCTGTGAATGATGATTCAATTTTAAGACAGACCCAAAGGTCCAAGCTCTATGAATGACAACTCAGTTTTAAGACAGACCCAAAAGTCCAAGCTCTGTGAATGATGATTCAATTTTAAGACAGACCCAAAGGTCCAAGCTCTGTGAATGATGATTCAGTTTTAAGAAAGGTCCAAGCTCCCAAAGGTCCAAGCTCTGTGAATGAAGACTCTGTGAGACAATTTTAAGACAGACTCAGTTTTAAGACAGACAAAGACAGACCCAAAGGTCCAAGCTCTGTGAATGATGATTCAGTTTTAAGCTCTGTGAATGACATGACTCAGTTTTAAGACAGACCCAAAGGTCCAAGCTTTGTGAATGATGATCAAGCTTTTTTAAGACAGACCCAAAGGTCCAAGCTCTGTGAATGATGATTCAATTTTAAGACAGACCCAAAGGTCCAAGCTCTGTGAATGATGATTCAGTTTTTACCCAGACCCAAAGGTCCAAGCTCTGTGAATGATGATTCAATTTTAAGACAACCCAAAGGTCCAAGCTCTGTGAATGATATTCAGTTTTAAGACAGACCCAAAGACAGACCCAAAGGTCCAAGCTCTGTGAATGATGATTCAGTTTTAAGACAGACCCAAAGGTCCAAGCTCTGTGAATGATGATTCAAAAAGACAGACCCAAAGGTCCAAGCTCTGTGAATGACAACTCAGTTTTAAGACAGACCCAAAGGTCCAAGCTCTGTTAAATAACAATTCAGTTTTAAGACAGACTCAAAAGTTGAAGCTCTGTGAATGACAACTCAGTTTTAAGACAGACCCAAAGGTCCAAGCTCTGTGAATGAATACTCAGTTTTAAGACAGACCCAACAGTCCAAGCTTTGTGAATGATGATTCAATTTTAAGACAGACCCAAAGGTCCAAGCTCTGTGAATGAAGACTCAGTTTTAAGACAGACCCAGTTTTAAGACAGACCCAAAGTCCAAGCTCTAATGAATTCAGACAGACTAAAACAGAAAAGGTTCTGTGAATGATGATTCAGTTTTAAGACAGACCCAAAGGTCCAAGCTCTGTGAATGACGATTTAGTTTTAAGACAGACCCAGTATGTCTGTCAATTGCTACTAGGATTCTATACATGTGTGTACCTCAACTGTTTCTGAAAATTGTACAAAAGACATATGAAGGATACCACCATTTAATACAAATTTAGTGTCTGATGCAGTCGAACCAAACAATGAGTTTAACCACATAATACAGTTGTTTTGTCCTAGGAATAGTCAGTGATGCTAAGGGCATAATTTTTTCAGCAAAATAGGAGGCAACGGAGAAAAATCAAAA